CTGGCCGCTCCGACACTTGCCGCCGAGCTCAAACCTGCGGCCGCTGCTCCGTCGCCGACCGGTGAGCTCGAACCGGCGGCCGCTGCTCCGTCGCCGACCGGTGAGCTCGAACCGGCGGCCGCTGCTCCGTCGCCGACCGGTGAGCTCGAACCGGCGGCCGCTGCTCCGTCGCCGACCGGTGAGCTCGAACCGGCGGCCGCTGCTCCGTCGCCGACCGGTGAGCTCGCGCCGTCACGGCTGACGGCCGCGCGTGCGGTCTGGCCGCCGTCCGCCCACTGACGTTCATGGGGAGGAGCCAGTCCGGCCCGCCTGGTGACTCCGCTGCCGCCGCCGCCGCCACTGTCCCCTCCTGCCTCGGGTGAGGCGCCGCTGGGAGGGCGCTGGCTGCCGTCGTTGCCGGGGGCGGCAGGGTGGCCGTCCGCTGCCAGTAGCTGATCCGCATGTCGGGACCACACCGCGCCGCCGATGTCCACTTCGTAGGACACAGGCCCGGGCCGTGCCACCACCGTGCCCCGGATCCACTTTTGTCGGCCGCCGTACGCGCGGGCCCACACGGCCGCCCCCAGCCGGAACTCGCGCGCTCGGCCACCCGCTGCCAGTTGCTGTTCCACCCGGGCCGCGCGCAGAGTGGCGTCGGCACACGGCACCAGCAGGTTAAATCGTGTGCGGAGATTCCGGCCGTAAATCATCTCCGCTGGCGTCCGCCCGGTCACAGCGTGTGGGGTTGAACGGTACGCGATCAGGAATCTGGCTAGCGCCCGCTCAGCTGACACGCCCGCCTCCGCCGCCGCCTTCAGGCCGTTTTTCAGCGTACCAACGGCCCGCTCCGCCAGCCCATTGGACGATGGGTGGTACGGCGCCACTCGCGTGTGTCGGATGCCGTTCGCCGTCATGAACGCGGCGAACTCCTCGCAGGCGAACTGAGGACCGTTGTCACTCACAAGCTGCACCGGGAGGCCCAGTCGAGCGAACACCGTGCGCAGCGCCGCCACCGTCCGCTCCGCCGTGGTGCTTTTCATAGCCAGCACCTCCAGCCACTTGCTATAGCTGTCCACGATCACCAGGTAGCTGTAGCCCAGCAGCGGTCCGGCGAAGTCCACATGGACTCGCTCCCAGGGCCCGCCGGCCGGCTCCCATGGGTGACGGATAGCGTGAGGTGGCTCCGCGCGCTTGGCTGCGCACGCCGCACAGTCCCGAGCCGCCGCCTCCAACTCCGCATCCAGACCGGGCCACCAGACAAATCTCCGTGCGAGCTGTTTCATCCGGGCGCACCCGAAATGTCCCTCGTGTAGCTCGTTCTTCACCTGCGTGCGTAGGGCCCGCGGAATTACGATCCGGCCGCCCCACAGCACGCAGTCTGCGTCCGTTGACAGTTCCTCCTGGCGGGTTTTGTACGGGACGAGGTCAGGATCCACGACTGCGTCCCAGCCCGATCTGACCGCCGCCAGTACCCTGGCCAGTACTGGGTCTCGGCGGGTGGCCGCGGCGACGTCCCTGGCTGTCAGCGCCGGTCCGTTCTCTGTCATGAACAGCACGCTGTGTCCATTGGAGTCGGCCTCCTCCTGCGTCGCCGCCTGCTCGTCCACCCGGCTCCGCACCGGCAGTCGGGAGAGAGTGTCGGCCACTCTCATCTCCTCCGTCCTGCGCAGCTCCACCCGGTATTGGTAGGCCGCCAGCTGGAGAGCGTACCGCTGCATCCGGGCTGCGGCGAGCGATGGCAGCTCTCTGTCCGGGCTCAGTATCCGAGACAGCGCTCTGTTGTCCACGACCAGCGTGAACGGTCTGCCGAACAGGAACTGATGAAATCGGCGGATGCCGAACGAGACTCCAGCCGCCTCCTTCTCCACCTGCGCGTATTTCCGCTCCGTCGGAGTCAGTGTTCGTGACGCGTAGCTCACGGGTCGCTCCAGCCCGTCCGGCGTCACGTGGACCAGAGCGGCTCCCAGCCCGGTGGCGCTGGCGTCCGTCACGAGCTTCAGAGGGAGTGAGACGTCGTACCTCATCAGCACTGGCGGGGAGGACAGCATCCTCTTCACCCTGCTCACAGCCGCTGAGCAGGCCGCCGTCCACCGCCACGACACGCCCTTTTTTAGTAGGGCGTACAGAGGTGCCAGGACCGTGGCGAGGTCCGGCAGCATCCTCTGGTAGTAGCTGACCGATCCGATGAACGATCTCAGTTGATCGACGTTGGTCGGTTCTGGTGCCTCCTTCACTGCCCTGGTCTTGTCCTCCAGTGCCTTCAGTTCAGTAGCAGAGACCTCCCATCCCAGGTACGTGACCTTCTCGGCGTTAAACACGCACTTCTCTCTCTTCAGACGCACCCCGTTCGCCTTCAGACGCTCCAGCACTTTGTCCAGCCGCTCCACAAGCTGCTCCTCCGAGTCTGCAGTCACCAGCAGGTCGTCCAGGTAGCACACGACCCCCTCCAGTCCATCAGTCACCTGGTCAATGACCGACTGGAACAGAGCTCCACATGTGGCAATGCCGTAGGGCAGGCGGTTCATCCTGTAGGCGCCCCGCTGTGTTGTCACAGTGGTCATGTCCTTCGACTCCTCTGTCAACTCACACTGTTGATAGGCGCATTTACAGTCCAGTTTGGCGAACCTTTTGCCCTTGATGCAGGCAAACAGCTCCTCTGGAGTCCTGAGTGGGTGCCGGACAGGCTCCAGCTGCGGGTTGACAGTGATGCGGTAGTCTGCACACAAGCGCACACCGTCCTGCTTCGGGATAGGCACCAGCGGTGTGCCCCACCCGGAGTAGACTCCTGCTTCCACCCGTTCAGCGATTCCTTCCTCCACCCAGCGGTCCAGTTCCCTGTCGACCAGCGGCTGCAGGGCAAATGGTACAGTTCTTGCCTTCCTGTACACTGGTTTGGCACCTTCCTTCAGCTTCAAGCTGATCTTGATTGGCACCCTTCCCAGTTCTTCGCTGAAGACCTCCTGGTGTCTTGCCAACACATCCTCCAGCTGCTGCTCCCTCTTCAGCTGCAGCACCCCGTGTGGGGTCAGGCCCAGGGCTGCCATCCATTCCCTGCCCAACAGGTTCACTGGCTTAGGGAAGTCGACCACCACCAGACGCAGGTTCTTCTGTTTTGTGCCACGCTGAACCTTCACCACTGCCTCACCCTTGACAGGGATGGCATGTCCAGTGAACGACGACAGCACCAAGTCCGATCTCTGTAGGCACAGACCTGGAACACTGCTGTCCGATCCTATGATGGTCACTGGGCTTCCCGTGTCCACCACAAACTCCATGTCCGTGTCGTTGACCTGTAGGGTCATCTTCAGTGGGGCCATGTGACTGGCCTCTGACCCCTGACCCTGCTGCACACACCACAGCTCTGTCTCGGGCTGGGACACTTCCTGCACTGGGACAGGAACTACCTTGCTCTTGCAGTTTTTCTTGAGGTGTCCGAGCTGTCGGCACTTGTAGCAAACCGGACCACGCCCCTGCCGCTTTGTCGGTGTCCTCTGTTGCTGCTGCTTCGGCTGCTGCTGGCACTCCGCTCTCCTGTGGCCCGGCTGGCCACAGCGGTAGCAGGTCAGCTGACGCTCGGCCACCAGCTGAACAGGCTCAGCCGCTGGGCCGGCTGGCCCAGCCACCAGCTGTCCCGGTTCAGCCGCTGAGCTGGGGCCCCGCATCTGCTCAATGAGAGCCTCCGTCCGTTCCATGGCAGTGGCAGCAGCCACCACATCCTGCAGAGTGAGCTGGTCGCCCCGCTCAGCAGCCCGCTGCAGCAGCCGCTCCTGTAGCTTACCCTTGGTGCCGGCCAGGCATTGGTTCCGGACCTCCTGGTCCACACTCTGGCCAGTGAAGCCGCACCGGTTTGCAGCCACCCGCAGCCGTGCCAGGTAGGCCTCGAATTTCTCACCAGCCTCCATCCGGATAGTGCTGAATGCCAGTTTTTCCGCGATGGTGTTGCGGGCAGGGGTGAGGTAGGCCCTCAGCTTGGCCTTGCTGATCTCATACGCCCCCTCCACCCCGACCGGCTCTGGCAGCGTGCCAAACACCTGTTGCAGGTCCGGACCGATCAAGTGCAACAACATGGCTCGCTTCCGCGCCTCGCTGGTCACATCCAAAGCATCCAGGTAGAGGTCCACACTCGTGAGCCACCGGTCAAAGTCACCGCCCATCACGAACCGGTCCACGCCCGGGAGCATGGGCGCCGCCATGATTGTTTATCCGACCGACCGCACGGCTCTCCCCCTCTCCAACAGCTGACGAGCGCAGTCAGCTGGCGCCAGAGGTTCACTGCCGCTCCGCCACGCGGCGCTGGCTGCTTCCGCCAAAAATGGCGTCGGTCCGTCAGTGACGTCACAACCCGGGTCTCGGTCGCACGACGGCTCAACCCGCCGCAGGCCACGGGTCTCCGGCAAACTGCCACCCGCACCGCACGAACCGTCACGAGTCCCGCACGTCCCCCGACCGTCCACGGCACTCCGCCATACGCCACTGGCACGTCCGAGTCCGCGACACTACCGCGCCCCGCCGGCCGCCGCACCGCACCGCCGCGCTTAGAACCGTTCGACTCGTCGCCAAGGTGTTCTGTCGTGACCTCAGTCCCCGCGCACAGACCGGGCGGAACGGTACGAGAGGTATTCCTCGTTCTCGGCTCAGTGCACGCGTGACAGGCGATACGTCCTCCCTCGCCGGGCGCCGGTGCGCGACTGACGTCACAGCGCCAACCCGCGATTGGCGCGCCCCCGACGGCGTCCGCACAAACTCCCGGTTATTAACACCGCGCAGAGGTGGCGTGACGCCACACTCGTGACCCGTGTTGACACCGTTACCTGCAGTTGGTAACTATGTAGCCCCTGTTGTTGACCCCCCCCCCTCCGCAGTTGGTGACCCGAACCGTCCCTGATGACCTGTACCTGCTGACCCCTCCCTTCCTCTGCAGCTGGTGACCCGTATACCACCTCTGCGTGCCCATCCCTCGTTCCCACCGCAGCGGGTGACCCTTGTGCCCATTTGCTGACCCCTCCTCCCTCCCTATCCAGCTGGTGACGTACCGCACTGGCTCCGGCACGTCCCACCTGCTGGACCGTCGGGTGGTGAGCGGCGCCGAGCGCGGCCCGCTGCCGCCCGGCAGGTCGGAGACGTTCGCCGACCTCCGGCTGCTGGTGCCGCCGCTGCCGCCCTCCTTCAGCTGCCCGCTCATCGACGTCCGATACGCCGTGGAGGTGGGTCACACGAAATAAACCGACCCGACATAAACGGATCTCAGGTAAGCAGACATGAGATAAACCGACCCGATGTAAACGCACATGAGATAAACAGACCCAATATAGGCGCACCTAAGATAAACGGACCTGAGGTAAGCGGACCTGAGCTAGATGGGCCTGAGGTAAACGGACCTGCGATAAACGGACCTGAGATAGACGGACTTGATATGTACAACAGAACAAAGATACGAGGCTGAGGTAAACGGATCCGAGCTCGGACCTGAGGTGAACCAAGTCGAGATAGCGAACCCGAAATAGACGGAGCTGATATAAGCGGATCCGGCGTTACTCGACCTGCCGGAGGTAGACGGACCCGAAATAAGCGAGCCCAAGATAAATGGACCCGAGATAAACGGACCTGAGGTGAACGGACCCGGGGCAAACGGACCTGAGATAATCCGGACCAGCAAATAAGCAAACCTGAGATATAATTGTGCCTGAAATAAACGGACCTGAGACACGAAACCGAATTTAAGTTAATCGCTTCCTTTGATGGCCAGACGGAGTCGTGTTAGGACGGTGCAGCGTGTCCATTGTCGACACTCGACAGGTGACGATCATGCACCCAAACACGGGTTGGAGAACTCGGCGTTGGAGAACTCGCCCGGTCCTCGTGCCAGAGTTCTCACCCGGTCCTGACCGCTCCCCCGGCAGGTGACGATGGAGCACCCGGACCCGGTGCTCACGCTGCGCACCGCCGTACCGATAACCATCGGAACACTGCCCTACCTGAAACCCCCTGCCGACGAGACGCAGCCGGTCGTGGAGACGTCTACAGCAGCTCTCCGTCTGGGCGCCGCCTATAAACACCTCCGTGAGTAGTGTTCGCCGCCTACAAACACCTCCGTGAGTAGTGTTCGCCGCCTACAAACACCTCCGTAAGTGAAGTGTTCGCCGTCTATTACTGACACCTCCGTAGACCGTAAGTAAAGATTCCGTTATCCCTCCCAGACGACGACTAGTGACATTTGCACATGGTTGTTGTATGTAATTTGATGAAGTTGGTGCTCGATGATTTCGGTGAAGATATCTAATTATTATTTGAGAAAGTAGCAATTCTGAAATTGAAGAACTAACTACCGGTAACTGTTTTGAGCATTAGACAATTGCATAACAATTGCATAGTTAGGTATTTGCACGAAACGATGCCTTCCATCTGTGAGACATCTTGTTTATTGTGTAGTTAACCTTTTTTGCATCCTTAAAATTCAAAAGAAACGTTTACCCTGGTTCATTTGTAAAAGCACTAATATAGCGTTGATCTGTCCCGGTTTCAGCTGCGTACACCCTCCGTCCGTGTTTCTGGGGCGCGCGCAGTATCGAGGGCGACACGGACCGCCGGCAAAGCTCGTCGCGCCGCTGTCTGGTGCTGCCCGGCCACGACGCGTGGACGCCGTACTACCCCGTGTTCCGTGAGCCGGACACTGAGCTGCAGCGTCCCGCCGAGTGACGGGCGGCAGGCGCCGCGGTGTCAGAGACTCGGTGGATAGGGTGAATGTGTACCTGAAACCGGTGGATTAAAATGTTATATTTTTGACTGCTTCGTGGTTTCGCCGTTTGTTGACGTAAGTTGTAATCAGAAAAGTGACTCGTCTGAAGAGGGCTCGAGGGCAAACTCAAGGTCCAACACTCGAACTCGGTATTAGTGCATTATAGGTTTAGCTCCAGAATCCAGAATTTATGCATTTCTTAAACGCATTTAAATGTATTTCTTATGCTACAAAGAAATCGCTGCTTTAATTAAGCACAATAAATTACGTGCAGTTCACTTCTCATCGTTCCGTCTTTTCCATCCTCAGGATAGTCAAATCCTTTTCTCCTCCAGGCCTCAACCCCTGCCCCGGGCTGGACTGGCAACTTTATCCCATGCGGGAAGCGCTCCCATAGGAGCACGCCCGTAGCCGGGTGCAGTGAGTACCAGTGCAGGCTGGGTGGCCTGTCGCACTAGATGGACTCAGCCCCGGAGAATCGCCAGGGTGCCCGCCCAGACCAATATCTCCCCCTAATCCCTATCATCCTTCCAGCCCTTGGTCTCGTCCGACCAAAAGGGCCTAATCCAACAAAACCAAGAAAACAATGTTTAATTCTCGATGAGATAAAGCTTGCATTATTTTCAGTCGTCCAATTCTGAAAAAACATTCATCTTCATCGCTCACTCAACTTCCAACACGTTGGGCCATTGTAAGATAACCAAGTAAATCAACACAATAACGGCTACCTGCAGGCAAGGCAGCGATCATCTAGGTATATCAAACTTTTTGTCCCCGTCACGGTACGAAAATACCTACACGTAGCATGATATGACCCAGGTTTAATAAAGCCGTTTTGTTTCCCAGTCCTCGTTTCTAGATTGCCGTATGTTACCTCGCAATGTAAGGTGCTAAGCCCTGTAGTATAGTGTGCGGCTTGTCGTGACACATTTATGTCTGACGTATCGAGGTCATGTCTGGGCCGGTTACAATACATGGACGGAAGGCTCGTGGTCTTTTGCCGGCGAAGGTCTGGAATTGGATGGACATGGTGTAACGCTCTTTTACCATTTTTCATATCATATTTTATTCCCTTTTATACCGGACCTATTTTTCATCGCTCTGCCCTGAAAAATGGTTTAGACAAGGGCCTATACCATCAAATGGAACCCAACACTATAACATATAAGTGAGATCCCGGAAGATCCCGACGCTCGCCTTGCTAACAGCACGCTAACAGAATCGCTCGCTCGCCTCGCTAACAAAATAGCCTTCGCCCTTCGGTGGGAGCGGCAGCGCCGTGCGGTCAGTGGCAGACCGCAGACGGCAATGGTGGCGTCTAACACGTTACAAAACTCCTGTCCTGTGTGTCGGTGAGTGGTGTGAGCTGTTTCCGGCTCTGTGAGCACGTCACACGTTTCACTTTTTTGATTTTGACCAAATTCTTTTTATGTCTTACCGCATATGGGGCGCTGCAGAATATACTGTCCTCTCGCGTAAATTTTAGAGGAATACCTTCGTATGAAGAAATACAGCTTCCATATGAGAGCTGCCAAATATTCATGCTAATCGCCGATCGCACCCTAAGCATGTAATTTTGCCTTAATTTCATTTTAAAAACAAGACTTCAGGCAAAAATGTTTCAAATATTCGTTATTAGGATTTCCTGTCATTTATTCAGATACTTTGATGCATCATTTTAAAAAGGAATATCAATATAAATTTTCTAGCAAAATTATATCGCTAGATTCTCAAGCACAAATATCTCTGAAAAGCATGTAACGAACGCAGATCGCACGTGGTTTTTGTTGTTGAAGAGCACAAGAACAACATTCGTGTGCGAGACGTCGGCGGAGGAGGAGCTCGAGTTTAGCTGCGATCTCTGGCGCGTTACTGAGGGTGTTGGAGTTTGGGTTCATTGGTTTCTATTTTCTGTTTCGTTTGCAAGGCAAGTTCTTTCTTTGAAGTAAGAGGTGATGCAGTGATGGATCGGAGGCGGCCCGTAAAGCGGGTGCGACCTGACGAGTTTTTCTTTGACGGAGGAGAGTCCAACAACACAGGGTCTTTCTTGAAGGTAAAGTTGTTATCTGATGTTTCATTTAAATCAAAGGGATGGCCTTGGGTTCAGCTCGGAATCAGAGGGATACTGGGACCTGATGATAGGCTGGCTAAAGCTAGCCTCTTGGCTGATGGTGGGCTGCTGATGAGGACAAAAAATGAGTCTCAGACTTCCAAGCTTCTGAAAGTTCAAATGTTTGCAGGTGAGGAGTGTCAGGTGATCAGGGATGAACGGCTCAACACCTCCCGGGGTATCGTGCGGGCCCACGACCTGATGGAACTGTCTGAGGAGGAAGTAGCTGGGTGGTTGAAAGAGTTTGGTGTCACAAAGGTCAAAAGGTTCACAAGGAAGGTCAATGGGCGCACTGAAAGGACAGCAACACTCCTTCTAACTTTTGATACCCCCACCTGCCCTTCTAGGATTTCTTTGGACTATGTCACTTACAAAGTTGACCAGTACATCCCAAATCCAATGATGTGTTACAAATGTGGTAAATTTGGCCATTCTGAAACGACATGCAAGGATGATCGTGTGTGTCTTGTCTGTGGGGAACCGAGTCATGAGGGAGAGTGCACTCCAAAGTGCATCAACTGTGGCAAGAGTGGCCACTCCTGTCAGGATAGGAGGTGTGAGATATGGGTCAAAGAGAGGGCAATATGTAGAATGAAAGTAGAACAAGACATTTCCTTTGGGGAGGCGAGGAAAAAATTTGAGGAACAAGCACAGAAACAGAGTCCAAAATCATATTCTGAGGTCCTTAAGGTACCACAGAGCTCATCCCCACAGGAGGAGGAACTGAAAACCAGGGTGGGTAAGCTTGAAGATGCAGTGACAGAGCTGGTGGGTTTGCTCAAGCAGGTTCTGGGCAAACAATTGGATCCCAAAGGCACAGACAAGGAGACAGAGCCTGCCTGCATCACTGACAGCGGTGCACAGGGTGTAGAGAGTAGTGGTGAGATTTCATGCATAGAGACAGAGAGTGATTCTATGGAGGTTCAAAAACATGGTGATGTCGACTCAGATGAAAGACCAGTGACTGGCTTTGACAAGGAGATTGGGAAGTGGCAAACTGTGAGGAAGGGCAAGGGAAAGAAGGGAGGCAACATGCCTGTCCTTCCAGCACTGACTGGGGATGACGAGATTTCGCCGTCCCCCGAGCTGACTCGATTCACTCGAGCCCCAGGGCGAGGTGAACGTGGTCGGCCCAAACCAATGCAGCGGGCCCAAAGTGCTTCGCGACTTCCTTCGTCCAAACAGTGTTGGCAAAACAATTCCCATCCCCCCAACTCTTAGACAATACCCAGCAAAAGCATCATTTCTGTGTTTGTGTTTTTTTCTGGCAAATATCGAACAATTATTTCCAGTGATTACAGTCGCCTGCGTTTGTCGCAGGTTTTAGTCGGTACCCAGATTATGTATTATTTATTTCCTTATCCTGATTTGCATCTGGTGTCTGGTTTCAGTATCTCATGTGTTATATTTGATTTTGTGGTGGTCGTCGTCAGTCTACCAGGCGATCCTTTTTTGGGTCGGTTTGGCGGCGGGGCTGATGAAACGGGCGTGTTCCGTCGGAGCCGGGATGGTTCGACCGGCGCCCGGGGCAGTGGGGCAGGTCACGTGACCCGATGTTATCGCGAGGTCGGCGGGCCGGCCCCGGGGCTAGGCGTGGGCCCGGTCCTGGGGCGCGGCGTGAGCCCGACCTCAGAGCCGAGAACGAGCGCAAAGGTGACCTTGACCGTGCTGGGTACTTTTCCGTCGAATAGTTAGTTAGAAACAGCGTTATGGTTAATAGTGTGAGGAGTTTTACCATCATGCAATGGAATGCTCGTGGAATGATTGGAAAATGGCCGGAGATTAAACCTGTGCTACTGGAAAAAGGCAAAGATGTGATTTGCATCCAAGAGTCACATTTTCTCCCTAATGATCCTTATGATTTCCGCCTTAATAATTACACTCTTTATAACGCATTTCCCAATACGGACAGGAGACAGGGAGGAGTCAGTATTTATGTTAACAATAAACATCCCCATTGTCAGATAAATCTGAATACTTGTCTACAAGCTGTTGCAATATGATATCGGTCCCAACTGGCAGATGTCGGCTGTGTATTTGTTCGTTGTACCTTCCGCCGAACGAGCGTCTTTCGCAGCAGGTTCTCAGTGGTCTGGTGAGCCAGCTGCCACAACCTTTTATTATATGTACAGACGCTAACAGCCGACATTACATGTGGGGCGCAGATCGTTGTGACCAGAGAGGAGTCATATGGGAACGAGTTATTCGTCAACACGCACTGAATATTCTTAACGATGGCAGCCCGACACGGCTCGATGAATACTCTGGACTATGGTCCCATATTGATTTAACATTGAGCACGGGTAATATAGGTCAGTACCTGCAATGGTGTACCGACTCTGATCTATATTCCAGTGATCATTGCCCAATATACATAACATTTGATCTGCCTGGAACTGACACCTGTCGGAACACAGATTTCACGGGATGGAATACTAATAAGGCCAACTGGTCTGAATTTACTGAGAAGTGCGACTTACGATTTTGTGAAGGAATAGGAATGGAAAACTGCACAGCTATGACCGAAGCCTTACTGAGGGCTGCGGAGGATAGCGTACCTATGAAACGGAACAACTCAAAGTACACTTGTCCATGGTGGACTGAGGAATGTAAAGAGGCGATTCGTAGTCGGCGACGAGCACTCAACCGGTTTCGTCGTAGCCACCAAACTTTACACCTCATGGAATATAAAGCTGCTAAAGCAAGAGCAAGGCGAATTATTAGACAGGCAAAACGGGACTCTTGGGAGAAACTGCTACATATGTTCAAACATACCACCCCTATGCGACAACTATGGGACATAATACGGCGTTTTACAAAGAAGGAGCGCTACCAGCGGCCATTGCCCGTATTATGCATCAATGGCAATATGACAGACGATCCCAAAGAAGTCGCTGACGTGCTCGGGAATTTCTTCTCGGGGATGTCGGCGTCCATTAATTATAGAGCTGCCTTTAGGGAAAGAGAGAGTGTTTTGCTCGAACAGCTTCCATCGTTTGCGAGCGACAACGACGAGTGCTACAATGACATGTTTACTATTGATGAATTGAGATGGTCAGTTTCCCATTGTGGAAATACCTCTGTTGGGCCTGATAAGATTCACTACATGTTTTTCAAGCAACTTAATGATGAGCAATTGACACAGATCCTAAAGCTGATTAATTACATTTGGCTTTCAGAGCGTCTTCCCGACACTTGGAAACATTCCATTATGGTGCCGATCCTTAAACCCGGGAAGCCAAGTCACCAACCCGAATCTTACCGACCTATACAGCTTACATCATGCTTCAGTAAGGTCATGGAACGAATGGTTACCAGACGGCTGGCGTGGTTTATTGAAAACGGAGGAATGCTTTCAGCCATTCAATGCGGATTTCGGAAGGGACGGAGCACAGCTGATCATTTACTACGACTGGAGTCCAATGTTAGACAGGGCTTCTTTTACAACCGGTATACTTTAGCTGTATTCTTGGATTTTAAGAATGCGTATAATCTTATTTCGACGGCGGCCCTGCTGACCAAGATGCACGCACTTGGTTTCAGAGGGCGAATGATGCACTTCATTCGATCCTACCTTGATAACCGAACCTTTCAAGTCAGAAATGGCTGCCTCTCCGATACATTTGAACAGGACAATGGCTTGGTACAGGGTGGTGTAATTTCTCCGGTGTTGTTTAACATCATGATAAACGACATATTTGATGGAGTCCCCGGAAACCCAACATGTGCGCTGTACGCTGACGATTGTACCATGTGGGTGCAAGGAAGGAGAATTGCACAATTAGTTGACCGAATGCAGTTAGCTCTCGACCATGTTAGTTCATGGGCTGACAGATGGGGCTTTGTTTTTTTCACCGCACAAATGCAATGCCATTATATTCAGACGATATATGAAAGCAAGGGAATTAGCCACTGTGCCCCGATTGAGACTTTACAACGAGCACTTGAGCTACTCCGAGGAGGTCAAGTTTCTCGGGGTTTTGCTCGACACGAGACTGAATTTGAGCAAACATATTAAATATGTGAAGGGAAAGGCAACTAAACGTATATCAATCCTAAGATGTTTGGCCGGAGGGAACTGTGGAGCGGATAGAACGATACTTTTGCGAATTTACAAATCAATGATACGGCCAATACTTGATTATGCATGCCAGATACTGGATGGTCCACGAAACAAAACAGTTGAGTCGCTTGATAGCATCCAGAATGCATGCGTGAGGATTGCTACGGGCGCGCTTAGAACCTCCCCCATACTACCTCTGATGGTGGAAGCAGACGTACCCCCTCTGAGATTAAGACGGTGCGATTTGACCTTACGGTACTGCTTGAGAGTGAAGAGTGACCCCAACCATCCATGTCTTGAATTGATATCACGCGGTGCATCGCTGCCTGCCATTGATAGTGATTATTTGAAGCGAATCGCAGGCTTCCCTGTGTATGAGAGGCTCTCGGCTATATGCGCTGAGACAAACTTTGATATGCCGAACGAATTGACGTCCTTATCTGGTACCATCCCGCCTTGGCACTTGCAGAAATGTGATCTGATTCGACTAACAAATGAGAGAAAAGCAAACTTATCTGATATTGAAGTGCAATGTCAGTTTAATGACCTCAGAGAGAGATATGCAACGTTCTCTTTCTGCTTTACTGATGGATCAAAGAACCATGATGGTGTTGGATGTGCGTATGTACTTGGAAACCGACGTGAAAGGTTTAAGCTGCCAAATAACTGCTCTGTATTTACGGCGGAAGCATTCGCTATACTACGGGCACTGTTATTTCAGTCCCACGCACAAGGGGGAAAAGCTCAAAAAATTGAGCGCTCAAAAAATTGAGCGGGCCCCATTATGAAGGAATAGGCGAAACGATGGTATTTTACAATGCCTCTAGCGTCACACTACGGCAAATATCGTATCCAAATAAGGTATCAATGGCAAGAGAGAGCAACAAGGTTTCTTCTCGAACACTCGCCGTGATAATTTATATCGGTGTTTTTGGAAAGAAAATGCCCTAAAGACGCTCAACTTTTTGAGCGCCACTTGTCGTTCGGGACCGCGATACTCAATAAATTGAGCGCCACGACAGACGACAGTCAGCTGGCGCTCAAAAAATTGAGTGCCGGCCAGCATCTACACTCAATTTTTTGAGCGTTCTCCGTGACAGGTGAAGCCGGTACTGGCTGCCATTTTTGATGTTATGTTCGTTGAAATACGTTAAACTGAGTTGAAACAGAAATGCAGGAAGTTGAATGCTACGTGGTACCTAAACTTTTCACAAACCCATGGCATCATGTCACATTTTCCGCTAGTAGTTTTATCGGTCTTTCGGATTCGGCACACCTCAAATAATTATACAAGGCTTGAATAATCCGTATGAATACTGTAATTGATATTCTCTGACTGTACTGGGAGAAGGGAATACGTGAATACAGAGACATCCACCCACCCTTGAATATTGGAGAATTATAGCAGGAAAAACTGTATTGCCACGGTTACAACTTACAAGGCCATCGCCCGCAAACAAACAAAAATACTTTACAATGTGGGTTAGATTCACAAACATCATCAAGTGTGGAACACAGAGACGAGCAAAACAACATCACATTATCGCATGCCAGCCCGACCACATTGGAACCGGGTCCGGGTGACCTGCGACCGGAACCTGCGTCTTGCCAGCATACATCACAAAAGCAGGAGGCAGTGTCGTACTGCTTTGATCCAAAATATGCCATATAACAAATGATATAAACGACCTAAGCTCGGACTAAGCTTATCATTATCAAATCCTGTAAAAGACGAATGGAAACATCGAGTCTCAGACCAGCAGTAGCAACGATCACAGTAGCAACATCACAAAGAACACGCGGCATTATCAGACAGCCGTTTTGTTATCGGGCTACAGGCGGCGACGGCGTGGTTGCAGACCAGCTGCGAGGTAGCGGCGTGCGGGCAAAAGGCGCGGGCACACCTCCATGTGGCCGTGCGGACAGTGCGCGGTCGGCGTCGCATAGTGGGCGGCATCGGGCTGTCCCGGGCCGTCGAAGCCGCACAGGTTGTCGGCGCATGTGGGCGCGCGCGGTCACCACGGCCAGCTGCTCACCGCCAGCACAGACTGCGCAGCGTCGCCGCTCCGCCGGCCAGAACACGCAGACAACCCTTCTTGCAGTCGCACAACACGTCGCCAAACTCATTCACCTGCTCCACCATGTTGTTGATGTCACCGAGTCGTTCGAGTTGTGGCTCGTGCCGTCGAGCATGACCTGCCCGATCGGACACGGGTCAGCGGCTTCTGCTCCAGCGAAGTCTTCATCTTAGTGACGTCTTGCTGATCTCCACAAAGGCTGAGCAGATGACCTTACCCACAGAGACGGCCGACGTCCTCGCCAGCGACCGCTTGGTTGTGCAGACCTGCCAGAAAAGAAAAGCTGTTTGGTGATCTCAAACAATTTTTTTCTTTATGCAGTGGAACAAAACGGAAAATATGTCATACAACAGGAACTAAAAAAAAGATGCAGCCTAGGTCGTCTAAGAAATGGGTGCAACATTGATAAAATTCTTCATTGAATGAATTCTGCAAATGCTTTTGATAAAATGTGTGGTGATTATAAGGAGACCACTTTACTATAAAATTGCTCAGGATTCCCTATCTGGACCTATCAAAACATCCTGACTGCACACCAACAATGAGCATTAAATCCAAAACCTCTACCAGGTACCTAGGGATAATTAAATTCTGATTCAGGAAAATATTTCACATCATACAAATAAAAACCTTTACTATATTGAAACTGAAAATGTGATGCTGATCCAGTGACCTAAGGGTCTCAAAGTATAATAATGAATTAATCGATTATAAATTTGGTGGTGACTGCCGACTGGCGTCTGGCGGCCTAGACCTTGAGGCTTGAAAGTGGCCTTCCTTTTCCGTTGACTCCGATCCTCCAGATGGAAATGATATAAAGGATCATTTTTATCTTATGTCATATGAGCGAGCCAGTCAGAAAAGTGGCTATCCTGTTTCAGCATTCACCCACACAATAGTTGACTGTCAGTCTGTCATGCTGTCAGTGTTGTGAAGTAATGAAGGAGTTGAGTTTTGTTGATTATAAATTGTGATGTTATGTAAAGGACTGGAAAATGAATGTGAAAACTATGGAAACATATTGGCAGAGTATTGTCACTTACTATCAGGAGATATGGATAGAGAATACATTCAAATTAATAAGAAATGCCAAATAACAAGGTACTCAATCACTGATAGCAGTGGACTATCATATGTTTTAATGTCAATTATTTGAAAGTTAAGACTGAAACTACCTTTTACCTCATCATAACTAATGAAAAATTGTGTGAAGAAAACATTCACAGCCTCTTTGAAGCACTTAGACCACTAAAAAACAAAAATTTTCACGTAAATATGTTGTGTCTCCTTCCTTCAAAACATCATATCGGATGGCGCCACTTTCGTCGACAGTTACTTATCTGCACGCAAATCGAGGAAAACGTGAATTGATTGACGTTTACGTGTATCCAAATTTAAAATCACAGCATATTCAAACTTTTCAGTGTACCTTTTAACATCTAAGTACAACTAAAACGATAAAAACTTACCCTCAACACAAGGACGACGACAACCACGCGACCGGAGCCGTCGCGACGAAATAAACAAACGGCGCCGCCAAATGAAAAATATTCTCCGATATGGGTAATGTGAAATTGAATCGCAATCATTTTGGGTAGTATGAAAAATGCTCTTTCCAACAGAACCCTAGAAAAAAACGTGAATGGACAAAAAATAACTTTTATTTCGACATAAATATTGGCCTGTTTTTAAGTCATCCTGGTATGCCGTAAGATTTCGACCTATAAATTGGTGTTCCCCCAATCATTGAAGCTTGAGCAGTGAAAAATATGAAAGCCTAATCTGTTTTGCATCATTAGTGATTCTCCTAGGGTGTTGCCATTTCTCCCTAGGTGTTGCGAGTTGCTTTTGCAAAACGTGTTCCTGAAACGGCTCAATTTTTTGAGCCCTCAGCATTACGCCTATGGGAGCCTCTGACGTCACACGCTCAATATTTTGAGCGCTCAATAATTTGAGCTTTTCCCCCTTGTGCGTGGGACTGATTTGTGGAGGAAAGTGGTATCATGAGATGTGTCATTTGCACGGACTCCCTGTCCGTGCTGACTGCTCTTCGTGGGCCGGTCACTTCCCATCCTACTATCATGAAGATTTTAGAGACCTGTCATCGATTGATTACTTTGTCTGATCGCGAACTTGTTATTTTGTGGATCCCTGGACACTGCAGCATCACTGGGAACGAGCTAGCTGACCGTCAGGCCAGGGAGGCTATCTCGCTGGATCAAATAGTAGTCCTTGAAATGGGTCCCAAAGAGCACTATCCCGATATTGGGTTGTCTGTCCGTCGCCTGTTCAATCAGTGCTGGCAGCAGTATAACTCAAACACCAACTTGAAGTTGATAAAGGATGAAGTTGGATCATGGTCATCTTGTAAACGCGCCAGTCGCAGGGAGGAAATCTTGTTATGTCGCATGCGAATAGGACATACACGATTCACTCACGGACATATAATAGATAGAGACCCCAGGCCTGAATGTAACCGATGTTTGTGTCCCCAGTCAGTTAAACATATACTTGTGGAGTGCCCAGTGTATGCTACTCACCGACAATCGATTGTTCAGAAGTGCCTTCAATTGGATGTACCACTTACCCTGAAAACTCTTCTGGGTGATCAACACCCGGACATCACTGACGAGGTTTTCAGGTTCCTACGTGCTACCAATCTCTTCAAAAAGCTGTGACTGCGATGATCTGCGATGAACTAGCTGTGATTATTTGTGTTTGAAGCTATCATGTGCAATTATTGGATTATGTTAGTCTACCTGCCGATTGGCGAACCCCGTCGCGACTGATGCGGAGGGCATGGCCGTCGATCTGGCACATTGATGTGATCTCCTGCTTTTGTAATTTGTGTTGATTGTTTACTTTATCGTCTCTCTGGTGTTTTGTGCTATGTGCTGCGACTGCTCTGTGGACGTCCTCATGTGTGTAACAGTCGTGCATTGTGTGGGAATGATTGGATGAATGGAGATTGAATGTTGAATGAGAAGGATGCGGGAGTGGAGATGCATCGGTGTGAGAGATGGATGCAGTTAGTGGATGAATGAAGAGCAGCCTGTATTGGTTTGCTACTGTAGTTTCTTTTTCTAGATTTCTCTTGGATGTATACCTTCGTTAATCTTTTTTGTACCATCCGGTCCCTTCTTTTGTAGAAGTAGTCGCATAGTTCCGAAGTTGAGGCTCGTTATGATCGGTATGATCATGAGACATGAACCCTCCAACGCAAGTTGATAACTGAGTGAGGTACCAAGAGCAGACTCGTGCCTGAAGATCCTTTTGAACTGAATGGCTCGCTGGACAGATGCGAGGTCAAGAGCGTTATGATTGAATGACTCATAACCAGAAACCATCCTTTTTGTTTCTATTTTTAAGTTTTTAATCAGTTATATGTTAGAAACTAACCGTTACTAATATACTTCACCGGACATTTCCTGCCTGGACATATCCGAAGCCCGCGCATACATCCCCATGCCATCCCATGCTAAACCTATCATTTTCCTTCATCTGCTTAGTTTCCCTCTGCACAATCTGGCTGCAACCGATTGCAACATCTACTCGATCGAGACCAGAATGGCGCACTGATGACAACAACTACGGACGCTTGAGCTCAACGAGGCTATGCGCCCTAACCCAACAAGTACAAGTAAGTAAGCACAAGAACAAGAAGGGTGTGTAGGGGTGATTACAAAAGCGTCTCAATTTTTTTCTTATTAAGGTATTTGACTCGTGCTTAGTATGGCACTGTATGGCACATATGTTCTTAGGGTGGGTCAAATCCCTCTTGTGCACCCTAGGCTCAAAATTGAATAGAAACCACACCATATTGTCAAACCATGTATTACCCCAGAATTAGACCCTTGAAGGTTGAACTGAATCTGACCCAAATTTTGAGCTCAATCTTGAAATCTTCAGAATGTTTAAGGAAGATCTCGTGGAAAGCTTTCAAACGCTGTTTCGCCACTGGCACCAATAGTTCTCGAGATAACAGGTTTGTCGACCTCCGTTTGTCCCCATGCTGCCGTGGGTAGGGAAATCCCATGCGATGCCGGGATAAACAGGTTCTGTGCAAGCTGGATTTGGACTTATAAGTGGCTCTTGCAATTGTAAGACAATTGACATTTGACATAAATATTCACTAAAGTCTTAATCCCAAACTTAGCTAACATTAATTGCTACACTGACATGGATTTTTGTCTTTCGTTTTTGTCATTCCCCGCATGGTTGCAATGACTGTTTTGCAATTTAGTATGCACTCTCCTTTGCTAGATAGTATGGCTGATTTTGTAACAAATGATTGGTTTTATGTGAATGTTTGACATTATGTCAGTATTGGTATGTTTTTAAAACATTCCAATGTGTGTTGCCGCTTTTCAGTTTGTGTCAATGTTAGTTCTTAGATACTGAATAAAGATACTGAACCAATTATGAAGAACAAGGAAGCATCCAAGAAGTTAAAAGGAAAAGGGAAAAAGAAAAACAACTCTGAACTGGAAGAAATAAAGGCACTTGAGGAACAATATGAATCAGTAAGTACCTATTATGCCTACAACAATGCAATAAATATCATACTTGATATTTATACTACCTATTCTATCATATGGTAACTTGAATGAATTGGATACTGTCTGCTCACTTGCAACTCTGATGCTGACAATAATCAATCATCAAAGATTTACCATGTTCATCGATTGTGTAGGTAGTGTGCACATCCCTATCTGTTCTGACTGTTGGTTGTGCCGTCCTCAGATCAGTGCGGACGTGTCGTCGTTTGACGAGCTGCCGCTGTCTGAGCGCACGCGGCAGGGCCTGCGGGACCACGATTTCACCACGCCGACCGACATCCAGCGGGAGGCGGTCCGGCTGGCGCTGCAGGGCCACGACGTGCTGGGCGCCGCCAAGACCGGCTCCGGGAAAACGCTGGCCTTCCTCATACCGGTACGGACCGCGGGGTAGTGGGGAGGGGACAGGGAGGCAGCCTCCGACACCGTGGGGATGGGAGGGAACAGGGTGGGTGGGGAGAAATAAGGGATTGTTGGAAGGGCAGTTCATCTTCATCCTGTCGTTGCATCTCAACTGGGGCGGTGCTTTTTTCCTCTCCGTAAAAGGTTTTTGTATGCTTAGAGGCAGCTTTGTTAGGAATCTAGTCGTTACTTGTCTCTTAGTTATGCCCGTCCCTGTTACAATAGTCATACAACTGACCGTCCGTCCATCTGCCCCTCCGACCGTGTAGATGCTGGAGCTGTTACACGTGCGCCGCTGGACGCTTCAATAGCTGACCGTCCCCCTCCCCCGTTTGTCGGCCTGCACAGATGCTGGAGCTGCTGCTGTACTGTCGCCGCTGGACGGGTCAGTAACCTTCCCTCCCCCTCTTCTGTGTGCACAGATGCTGGAGCTGCTCTACCGTCGCCGCTGGACGCGCGTGGACGGCCTGGGTGCGCTCATCATCACACCGACCCGGGAGCTGGCCTACCAGATATTCGCCGTCCTCGGCAACATCGGTCAGCAGCACGACTTCTCGGCGGGACTCATCATAGGTGAGGGGTGGTTCAGTGACGGTCCAGGTAGCTGCAGGCTGTTGTTTAGCTGACGTGCTTCTTATGGTTGAGTTGACAAGTTGAATGGCAAAAGAGCTAGAGATGGTCTTCTTTGGAAAGCTAGAGATGCTGCGCAAAGTTTTTGAAGTTGCTAAGTTCGAATGAAAGCACGCTGCATCTACTGTCCAATGTTCTACTTGTCCATCACTGTCTTTTCTGGCACATTCGTAGCTCCACCACCTTTTTCCCTGCCATCATCGTGTTCTTACACAGGCGGCAAGGACCTGAAGTTTGAGCGTAAGCGGATGGACCAGGTGAACATCATAGTCTGCACTCCGGGCCGACTGCTGCAGCACATGGACGAGAACCCGCTCTTCAGCGCCGACAGCCTCCAGGTAACCCTAACCATGCGGTCGGCGTTCTCAAACACTCGATAGGTATCATGATGTGTTCAGATGTTGGCTATGTCTGTTGATAACCGGTTTCGAAATTCGAATGTAACAGTAACATTCGCCAACACTCCCAAGCTACATATTTGTTTCAATATTTGACCAATGAAAGTCCCCGATAGCTGTTTCCCTGTATGTGTTTGCCTATGACTTCGCACTTCTATAACCTCATACCGGCCCCGTCCCTCTACTTTTCGCGTCAGATGCTGATTCTGGACGAGGCGGACCGGTGCCTGGACATGGGGTTCGCCAAGGCGATGAACGCCATCATCGGCAACCTGCCCACCGAACGGCAGACGCTCCTCTTCTCCGCCACGCAGACCAAGTGAGACTAGCGGGCGGTGCCGGGCGAGCTGCTAGCGACTTTGTCTAGTCTGTCGATGAAATGAAAATGCTGTAAATCGCTCAAAGATCCTATGTGTTAGCGGAAATGTAACTAATGAAGACACCCCTAACCAGTCGGGTTTTTCTTCGACTTCGACTCCTCCAGCGCTCTCGCTAGGTTCATTCTGACCTCCCCTGCCCGTGTGTCAGGTCGGTGCGGGACCTGTGCCGCCTCAGTCTGAAGGAGCCCGTCTACGTATCCGTCCACGAGAAGGCCAAGCACAGCACCCCCTCGGGGCTGGCGCAGAGCTACATCGTCTGTGAACAGCACGAGAAGCTAGACACCTTCTGGTCGTTCCTGCGCCACCACAAGCGGCACAAGATCCTCTGCTTCATGCAGACCTGCAAACAGGTTAGAGATTTTGACGATGGAGTGGTAGGTGGCTAGGACTTGTGCTTTTTTATCCATATTAATTTGACTTTCAGCTTAGTAAAAAGATCCGTCATTTCATTGGCGCTTGCAGCACTAATACAGTTCACACTAATCACATAACGTTTGCATGAAGGCAGTTTTTCGAGCACTGGCCACTTCTGATGAATATTTTGTGCGGTCTGTGAGGTCCGTGCGGCTGATGGACATAGCCTGCTATCCCTGGCTGCCATCGCTCTCGCTGGTGACCGCCCTACAGTGTACTAACGATGCGCTGTCTTCTAACCTAGCCCCTCGCCCCCGCAGGTGAAGTACATGTACGAGGTGTTCTGTCGCCTGCGGCCCGGTATCACCGTGATGGCTCTGTACGGAACGCTGCACCAGCTGCGCAGAATGGCCATCTACGACGACTTTTGTCGGAAACAGCGAGCCGTCCTCTTCGCCACGGACATCGCAGCCAGGGGCCTCGGTGAGTGGGAGTCTGAGTCTGAGTGAGATAGATTCAGGGGTCTGGGTGAGTGGAGAGTCTCTCGGTGAGTCAGGAGCCAGAAGTCAGTGCCAGAGCCAGAAGCAGACAGCGACAGCCAGGAGCCTGAAGCCAGAAGCCTGGCTTCAGAGTTGGAAGCCAGGGGCCTCGGCAGCGATAAAAGTTGGACTGGGATTCGTTTTGACATGGGTCAGCGATTTGGAAAGGTTGATACTGAGTTGCTTGCCTTTCCCGATATATGTGGGTAATTTCTCGCTTACTTCGGTGACGCCCGTACATTTACGTGCCTGTTTATCGTTTCAGACTTTCCTGCGGTGCACTGGGTGGTGCAGCTGGACTGTCCTGAGGACGCCAACACCTACATCCACCGCGCCGGGCGCACGGCCAGGTGAGGAGACAGCAGCGCCGGCGTTTATACAGGATGGGGCTGGTGGTCTGTGCCGCTGGGTAAACTGTCGAACTTGGATATATAATGACACTGGAAAACTTGCTATTTTTATTTTTGGCTCGAGCTATTTACCTTTTTAGGATCATTTTGTTTTGCTGGTCTCATTTTGAACTCATTTTAAAGTATGGTTTTGGCTTGGCTTTCTTCTCATAAATGCATTCGTCACCCGCACGGAACCGAGTGTCGTGACTGACGCACGTACTGCCATGTTCGAGCACTAGCTCTCGAACCTGACACTGACCCCTCGTCCTATGTCCGTCTGTGCGTTTGGTAGGTTCCAGAAGGGCGGCGAGACGCTGCTGGTGCTCACTCCCAGGGAGGAGGAAGGCATGGTCAGTCAGCTGCAGCAGAGAAAGATTCCCATCGAGAAAATCGAGTGAGTATAATTTTCGCGGCAATGCTGTAGCCGATCAGGACCTAAATTGCTGTGTATGAATGACTGGATGCCGATTATTTGCAATGGATGTCTGTGCTCTAACCGCTTTCTACATGACTTACGCTTGTTTTGTCCACCGCAGAGTGAACAAGATGAAGACGGCGACGGTGCAGCGGAAGGTGGAGGCGTTGCTGGCCCGAGACGTCAACCTCAAGGAGTCGGCCAAGCGCGCCTTCAAGTCCTACTTCAAGTCCACCTTCCTGATGAAGAACAAGGAGGTGTTTGACGTCACCAGCGTGGACACGGAGGCCTACGCCAGGTAGGCCAGGCTGGCTACCTCCAGGGAGGGCGGGGTAGTCCTCTTGTCCTTGAATGGACTAGGGCGTAATCATGTAGCCTGGGTAGATGTATTACCAGCTACAGATGATTACATCCACTGCCCCATGAGACCGTGATCGGTTGTCGCCAGTTTATGTTGGGGTCGCAGTAGTTTAGGTACCCTCTGCTCTAGTGCTAAATTGTTTTACAATATTTGTATCGGTTCCTAGGTCTCTGGGTCTGGCCGTGGCGCCCCGGATCCGGTTCATGAAGAAACAGCAGCAGCAGCAGCAGGCGGCGGCGCCCAAGCCAGTGAAGACGGAGGCGTCCACCTCAGCCGCTGCGGCCGCCAGCGGCTCGGCGGAGGAGCAGGACAGCGGCATTGACGAGAGCAAACAGACGGCCGACGGAAAACCGTACAAGCCGCTCTTTAGGACCGCCTACAACTTCCACGACGGTGAGCGTCACATGACTGGGCAGTTGAGGGACACCGGGGTGGAGCAGGGGTGGGTGTGGGTACAGTTCGACAGTTCGACGGAAGCTTTAGAAGCTGTTATATCGATCCACCACTTATCCTCTGCAATATGACTCAATATCGCTCAGACGCTAAATTTTGGCATCTGCATCTTCACTGTCACTGATTTTCTCACCCTGCCCTGCTCCCTGTCTCTGACTAACCGTGCGTCAGTGATTCTGACCGTCACGTCCCGCTGTCGCGCCGTTAAGTCTCTTCTTTGACTGACTTTTTAGTCATGTTTGCTCCTGATTCCCGGTCTGTACTTCAGCTCTTTTTTCCTCCTAACAGAACCCTTCTCCCCGCTGTGTATCTCAGCTGATAAACTGATCCCCTCCCGGGCCGCTCTCTGTCCCCTCAGATGACGGTGACGGCGACTCGGATGACGGCCTTCTGAAGGTGAAGCGCGTGGACCACTCGATCGGCACCGACCCCGTGGTGGAGGAGGAGCTCAGGAAGCGCGAGGAGCGCCGAGCCTCCAAGAAGGTCACCAAGGCCGCCGCTGCGCACCGCATGCTCAAAAAGAGCATCCTGCCTAACAAGAAAATGACCTTCAATGAGGAGGGCGAGGTGCGTTGTGGGCGCTGGATCGGTATCATTTTTAGAGTGGAAATGCAATAATTTCAGCCATGAGTGCTGATTTGTTCATTTTCCATCGCTGATGCTCTCTGCATCTCAACAAAGTTATCTGCTCAAATACGCTGGATGCGTGAGAACTGACTCGCTTGGCAAAGAAAAAAGAACATCACGGATCATCAGCCGGTCCCGTAGCTCAGTTGGTAGAGCGTTGGACTCCGCGTGGTGAGAGCACGCGTTCCCGGTTACAACAGTCCGGGTTCGAAGCGCGACGGGCGCTTGACAATTTGGGCCTCCTGACAGGTATGGTTGCGGTTGGTGGCAGGGCGTAGCCAGGCGAAGTCAGTGAGGGGACCGGCCGTGCGCGGCTATGTGCGCACGTTAAACTTTGGACTAAAAATTCTGCCATAGAACCGGAATTGCGTGATCGGAGGGTAGAGGGCAGGGTCACCGCAACAAGCTTCGCTTAGCGTGACTCTGTCGTTGTGAATCCTTCCTATCAAAAGGTTCGGACTAAGAGAAAAAAATTCATGGATTAATATCTCATGCATACGCTCTTATACGCACCTCGCTAGTCTTGTCATTTGAGTCACTCAGTGGTCGTCCCGTTCCCGGTCCTCCCAGTGCATTTCTGACCCCTTCCCTCTCCTATTACAGGCGGTGCTGGACCACACGCGCCAGCAGGTGTCGGAGCTGGCGCAGAAGTACCAGCAGGAGGGTGGCAGCGGCATCGACATCGACACGGTCCGGCAGATCCTCAAAGAAGAGGACCGCATCGACCGGCAGATCTTCAAACAGAAGATCCAGGCCAAACACAAGTGGGTGCCGCGCGTTCACTGAGGGGGCAGGATGGGTAGGGAGCACTGAAATCACTGGGCGGGGGACGTGCAGACTTGCCTTTCCCTTTTGGAGGTTGTGTGCCACCTTTTCCACCTCTTTCTCAAGGTAACAGAGATCATGTATGTGGGGTGTGGATAAAGGCAGCATGTTTTCCCGTCTGCTTCATACGTATGACAATATGACATGTCCCCGTTTTTTTTTCCTCAGAGAGAAGAAGCGGAAGCAGAAACCGGAGCCGGAGCCGGACGAGGGCGGCTCCGATGACGACGGCGGCGTCCGGCTGGCCTCCCCGCCGCCCGACGATGACGCCTCGATGGCGGACGATGACGCCGCGTCACCGGCAGCCAGCGATGACGAGGAGGCGGCAGATTACCGCGGCCCGGCGCTGGCGGAGTCCGACAGTGACGAGGGCGGGCCCAGGAGCCTGGCGCCCGCCTCCTCAGACGAGAGCGACGATGAGCCAGCGGTCAGGTGAGGAATGATCTGCGGAATTGCGTAGTTACGAGCATGTGTGGCTATTATCTGGTGTTTGTGGTAATTAACACTATTCGACCGTCGTTTTGCCCTTCGGCTCTCAAAGTAATATATCACAGCTACTAGCTATAAGATGCTAGAATAATTCGGTTGGTACTGGTGTCTGATGGTTAATGCTGCATCAATACGGGGCTGGACACGTCAATCAATCCATTCCACTGCCATGCTGCCCAGTGCCCCGTTTGACCAGCCCCCTCTCCCCCTCTCTCCAGACCGGCGGCGAAGCGGAAGGCCAAGCAGTCGGCCTCCCCCTCGAAGCGGAGTCGGCGGCGGCAGGCCGACTCTGACGACGACCTTATTGAGACGGGCGGCACGGTGGCAGACGACGAGGCACTGGCGCTCCACCTGCTGACCGGCTGACAGGCCGCGCCGGTCCAGTAGGTGTACGGGGTCGGGCCAATGACACCCCACACTGTCAACTCGGGGTGGTACGGTGCGGTCTGAATCGGGGACTGGAGCATTGTGATGCATTGTTTTGAATCTGTTTTGCAACTGCCGATGTGTCGAATATATAGGTCTATGCGAATTTAGAGTATGGTGTTGGTTGTATCGCTTCAATGCCGGAGTTGTACTGCTCTTCCTTCTCCATTTCTTTCAGCCGATTTCCACGATATCCGCGTTTGAACTCTTAAAAAACCATCGACATGGCATTCACTGTATTTAAACAACTCATAATCTTCAGATATGTACACTATATAGAACAATACACAACATCGACCGCGTTCCCGTAGACCGTATGCGTCCGCTCGGGCCGCGCTGACCTCGGCCGTTCCCTGCCTGGAGCGAGTCGCTCCTCTGTAAGGCACTGGACGCCTCGTGGCGACCCGCCCGACCAGCGCTCCCCCGCGGCCGACCGCCGACATCGCCTAATATCAGCATTCATGATCGGTGGTACACTCGGGGGCAGATTGATGTTCCACAACTCTTTATCCACCGGGTTCCTATGGCTCAGCATTGGCAGCAGCCGCCTGGTACCGGTAGACTGTGCCGCTTCACTTACTTGTCAAGCGGCACAGCCTACCTACCTGTATGACACCGGTCTGGGTCGGTGGCTGGAAGGCGATGTGGGCCGCCTGTGACGTCAGCGCAGCGGTGAGGGCCGAGCCCGGAGGCATGGCTCGGGTCGGCGCGGCGCGGCGGCTGGCGAGGACTGGGGAGTGAGGTGGGGTGGGAGCACGGACATCGCGTGGCTGGGCGAGTGTAGTTAACTTTCGCATCTCAAGGCGCCAATTATTCTACCTAACAATTGTGCTAAAGCAGTTGTTAAAATGTCCTATCCCCAAGACAGCGCCTATCATCATACTTGCAATGCACATTACGACACACTTAAGCGTGGCAATGGGACAGCCGATAGAACTTATGTCGCTCGTGCATCGAGGTGCGGAGCTATATTTTGTATAACATATTAGTATTAAGGCTTTGATTGAGCATATTGGTGTCTATTGTTTCGCACGACAATCGTCCAGAGACGTAGGGAACTGGGGGTTATGAGTAGTGCCGCAGCCAACGCTCCAATTTAAAGCGATTATTACTGTTGATCTAATATGTGGTCGCAGCCTCCAATAGCAAACCGTTCCAACTAGGAGCCAAAAAGTCGGCCACTCAGGGGGATTCGAACCGGGCTTCTTCCACCGGCCAATTCACGACACGAGCGTTCATCCACTGAGCTACCGAGAATGGTCCTCGTCCGCACAAAACAAAATGACATTCACCCGCTGACCGCCAATGACAGTATTGTGACATTTGATCGCGTTTGACCGCGGCGGGTGGTCGCTGGTTTCGGCAGCTCAGTGGATACAGGCTAGCGTCGTGGGGTGACCGGTTGGAGAAACCCGGCTCGAACCGTCCCAGGTGCGCGACTTATTTGTTCGTAGATGGAACGGTTTGCTATTGGTGGCTGCGACCACACATTAGAGGAACATAAGAGTTGGGACGCCGCGCTATCCAAAAACCTCAGTTCCCACGTCTCTGGACGATTGCTGTGCGAAATAATAGACACCAATGAGCTCAATCAAGGCCTTAATACATATCTGTTAAAAACAATGTAGCTCCGCAACTCGATGCACGTGTGATATAAATTCTATCGGCTGTCCCAATGTCACGTTTAAGTGTGTCGTAATGTGCATGGCAAGTATGATGATAGGCGCTGTCTTGGGGATAGGACATTTTAACAGTTCTGCTTTAGCACAATTGTTAGGTAGAATAATTGGCGCCTTGAGACGCGAAAGTTAACTACACTCGCTCAGCCGCGCGATGGTCCGTGCTCCCACCCCACCTCACTCCCTAGCCCTCGCCAGCCGCCGCGCCGCGCCGACCCGAGCCATGCCTCCGGGCTCGGCCCTCACCGCTGCGCTGACGTCACAGGCGGCCCACATCGCCTTACAGCCACCGACCCAGACCGGTGGCATACGGTGTGGGTAGGCTGTGCCGCTTGACAAGTAAGTGAAGCGGCACAGTCTACCGGTACCAGGCGGCTGCTGCCAATGCTGAGCCATAGGAACCCGGTGGATAAAGAGTTGTGGAACATCAATCTGCCCCCGAGTGTACATTCAGGATTCCTCCGGCGCGCCTAATACCGGACGGGACACGATCGTATAGAGCGGCGCCGGGCGCGCGGCGTTCGTACACGACAGTAGCACACAGATAGAGGCGCCCTCATTGTCATCACAGATACGGACCTCACTTGCGCGAGCGACCCAGCGCGGCTTAAATAGTGCCCCGGACGCCCGGAGCACGGGATGAGGGGTGAGAATACTTTGCAGGATGATCGCACTCACACAGACCCCTCACCGCACCTGACACCGCGACCTCACGCACACACACACACAAACAGAAGCACCCGCGCTCAGAAAACTGGGAGACTGACCATACTCGGTGACACAATTTATACGCAACACGTCATCAGTACCTATGTATACAACATCGCGATAATTAATGGGTATTTACAGATGCGCTATGAACAGCAGCGTTGTGCCCCGTCTTTAGGAGTGTGTGTATCTCGGGAAGCATCACCTACGGCGCCCGGCCGACCAGCGGCGGTATACAAACACTCAAACATCCAGGGGTCCCACCAGCGCCTCAAACCGAGAAAAAAGTCAACCACACACACACTCAAGTCAGGAGGTACACGAGAAATCGCACACGCATTTGTACGGGGATGGCGCCCACAGCTGCCCGCGTGCTATATAAAAATAAATTCCATAAAAGAAACGAACCCCACGGCGGGACAAAAGATACAGGACACAGGCTCGACGAGAAAAATAGTCACAAAATTCACTCGCGATTCCGCTGGCTCAAAAAGTCGCGGGGCTGGCCGGGCTGGGTCGCGGACCGCAGGACCGTGGACCACGGACCACTGGACCGTGGACCACGGACCATTGGACCGTCGGACCGCCGGCCAGCCGCCGCGATAATCTCAGTAAGGTCGCTGAGCCGCGCGCTGGCGACGCGCCACGGAAGCTCGGTTTAGCATCGGATATCACTCTGGGGCCCACAGCCGACCCGCGGCGTGGGCCTCCCCAACAGACACTACACCTCGTAACACTCCCCCGACTCCATCAGTGTCCAGCACTGCTCCGTCGGGAACGCTGAGAACTCAGTCCAATCCTCCCGGCACGGGCGGCGGCACGGCCCGGGCGGCGGCACCCAGTTACAAGTACATTTTGCGCACCTTTTGCACCGGTTTACTGTCGGCGGCCGAGTTGGCGTTCTTGCCGTTGCTGTTCTTGGTCTGGTTGACCACCAAGTTGATCTGCTTGCCGCCGTTGTTGACGAGGAACGCCGGCTCCGTGTGGAAGTTGCGCTCGCACCTGCCGAAGGAGGAGATGACGTCAGTACGGTGATGTGGATGTGTGACGTCAATTGGAGTGATGTCACGGAAGTAGCGTGGGCGTGCGATGACAGCTGATATTACTGATAATCATTGACAAGGAAAAGCTTTGACATGAGGCAAAATAGCATGTGGACACATCAATCATAAGTTTCGGTGAACACACGGGGAGCGGGCGTGGAGCCCGTGCGCCTAGATGCCCCAGGAAAAACCGGTGCGCTGGACAGTTTCCGTTAGTTGTCGTGACATCAGGTCTGTCCGTCTGACCCTGCCACAATAATTGATAACCATCATACGATTCCAATCACGCGATCTGCGAATGACTCGTCTAGTGACTTCAGCCAGCGTTCGGTCGCACGCGATCGTGGCAGCAACTTCCCACGCAAACAGGGCAACCATTCACATCCTGACACTGCGCAACATCGCACAATGCACCTAGCATGGTTTGGAAACTACAACCGAAACTACAAACCTACAACCACGGCACACAGTGCGGCACCCCACTGCCTGAACCTCCCCTGTTCTCTCACCTGTTGTCTGGTTTGACGACGACGTGCGCGGCGGCGGCGGCCGCTTCCAGCTGCTTCATCCTGGACTGGCGGTCCAGGTGCGGCGTCTCGTAGTAGGGCTCGCCGCGCGCGCGCCAGTACCGTCTCGAGACGCACCAGCCGGCGCCGAAGCCGACCAGCACGGCCAGAAGGCACGTGCTGACGACGGCGATGGCCAGCGTCTCGGCCGTGTAGACGCCGCTTGGTCGGCCCGAGTAGCGCGACTCTGCGCGGAGGGGAGGGACGGGGGTTAGTGCGGAACCCGGCTCTAAACCAAACTGGTCCTAGACCGTTTCGCTTGATTGTAAAAGCAGGCGGCCAGTGCGAGTGAAAAGACGCCGTTTCTAACGTGTGTGGTCTACCAACAAAAACTCTACGATCGTCAGCAACTCGAATCACGTTCTTGCAATGTGCTTCATTCATGACATCATGCCCGGGCCGCGGGAAAATCGAATCACTGCGTGACCTAATGGGAAAGACGCGCCAGTATTCGTAATTCCAACACTGACAACCATTAACTTCGCCGTATCCTGCTCTGGTAACCCAAACGTAAACGTCAAAAATAGATAAGGTGAAAATCCCACACTCACGATGCCATCATGGGAGGGGCCTACATTCAGCAGGGATACTTTTTTGAGGCTGACACCATTCCTATCGCAGATAGCCATAGACTGGAATTTAATCCAGCAAAGTTGAGCTTCTTGACGTCGCTGCGGGTGATGTGATACAGACAATCAAGCCGATCCGTTACTTCTGCTCACCTTTGGCCACGGCTCCTTGGAAGGACTTGGTGCGTTCGACGATGTCCAGCACCCTCTGCCCCTCGTCGGCCTCGTACTTTTCCCGGTCCAGTTCGTTTCCTGTGAACGGAGATAAGTCTGTCAGCGCCGCTGCCTCATACCAGTGGTACCTCCCCAGCTGGTATGTCTGTGAGAATACACAAGACGACGAGCTCCTCCCTACACTATGACTGACACTGAGCGCCGGGCGGCTGGTGGGGCCCAGCGCCGGCCACTGAGAGCCGACAGCCATTCGGCACAGCTCGCGGCGCCGTTTCAGGCTGATAACGCTGATATATCGCGGCGATTGTGAGCGTCGGACGGTGAGTGACACACCGCAGAGTAAACTCAGGCGCCGGCGGCGAGGGGGACCGATCGTACTACAGAGGCTGACACTCCCCGCCGGGGATAACGGGACAACGGACATAACACAGTGCAGACAGACGGGCTTTTACAGAACAAACTAGCATAGTGCTACCGCCGCGTGAGTCACTACTACCTGCGCCACATGCCGTGTCCCGTGAACAGCTGGTTTGACCAGTCCTACAGTGTTCGGGGCAGCTCAGACCGTGTGCGGCGCGGCGCAGTGCGGCGCGGGTGCTTACCATCGTCCTCATCCTCGGACGGCTCGCCGCCGGGGGCCGCCGGGGCGGTGCTGGGGTCGGCGGCGGAACCGGCGCAGTCGCACGCTACCGGCGCGCTCTGCGTGGTGCTCGGACTGGCCGCGGCTACAAAACAAGCGGAACCAGAAACGGTGCTCAGCGACTGAACAAGACGCCACCACAGGCCAGGCAGGCAGAAACAAAGCGGACGAAATCAGAACGGACGGGTGCGCCGGTGCGGTGCAAACACAACACGACGTGAAACTCAACACCAATAGAAAAAAGCGGAACGTAAAAAAGAAGACAAAAGAGCTGACTTACTCGTTGCCTCTTGGAAGAGAATTTTCGGCTCGCGGTCCTCGCCTGCAAGCAGGGAACACGTAGTCAGGCTATCTGCGCACTGCCGCACAAAACCACGAACACTACTACTCTCTGTCTACACATCAAACTGGCGATGAACCGAGACAAGACGACACAGATGATGGCCAGCGACACCATGCGATACTTCTCAAGTCACGCCGCTAGTCTATCGTGATCGGTGCGTGCAGAGCCCATGCAAACGGTACCGTTCTATCTAAACACTGGTCTGGGCGAGGCCGTGCTCGGCTCGGATGGGCTCGTCTGGACGAAACAGGACAGAGCACCAGCGATAGGATACGAGCCAGACGCGGCGGCGACACCAGCGGTCACCACCGGCCGTCACCAGCCGCTATCACCAGCGGTGACCACACGCCGCTCACCTCTGGGACAGCGCGGGTGATATCCGCCGGTGACGTTCTGCAGGGGTTCCACGCCGGCCGGCCAGTCGGCCAGCGGCCGGCACAGCCGCTCCATCTCGTCCCAGGCGCAGTACGGGTCCCGCAGACGGACGCAGGCCGAGCAGTGGCCCACGCGGCCGGCGCCGCAGCGCGACAGCGGCACGGCGCGGATCTCGTCGTCGGTAACGACTATGAGCCGCGGCGGCTGGCCGGGCTGCCGCGACACCAGCAGGTTGGTGATGGTGGCCGCCGTGGGGAACACGGCCAGCTCCTCAACGATCAGCGGCTCGGCAGTGGGACGTGCCGCGCCAGACGCCACGTTCACCGCCTTCAGCACCCGGCCGTCGTCTGAGGGGACGGGGACAGGGGTCAGTGGAACGGCGGCAGCACGGCACGGCACCAACGCTTGAACAACGGAAGAAACAAATGCTGCCGTGAAGCATGAAACGACGTCACTTTTGCTCAAACAATCGGTAGTGACGAGGACTTCAGGGGATTAAAAATCCTTGACGGATGAGTCCATCAGCAACTGTCAAAGATGCTGTCACGCCTCTCCATTCCCATCCTCACCTGTGGCGATGAAGAGCACGTCGTAGAGGGTGCCGTCGGCGGCGCGGACCTGCGGGTCCACGGCGATCTTTGTGAAGCGCTGGTGGAGGCTGGTCCGCATCAGGAGCGGCTGACCGTGCAGCGTCGGCACCGCAGAGTCCATGAGCGGGTGCGACCGGATGAAGTTGAGGTGGACGTCGGGCAGCGAGCGCGAGTCGTTGACACACCGTCCCGGCCTCGGCTCCGGAACCTGAGGGCAGCGGGGTAGCCAGCGAGGTCAGAGGGTGTGCTGGGAGGAGAAAGCAGCTGTGGGATAACGTGTGGGTGGGTTTCATTGACAAAAATATGACATCAGCTTGAGCTTCCGTTGCTGTTAACCGCAGCATCAACAGCAAAGCCACACCAAATATGATCGACCATAAATGTCACACCACTCATCGCTGGATAATTCCAAACAAACAATCTTGTTGGAATGCCCAGCAACAGAAGCTTTGCCACACTGACATAATAGCGCACCATACCAGGCACATAAACCCACTGCACTAATGCCTCGACATCACCAAACCTCGGCGTCCTCCGCCACCTCTGGCGCCGCCCGCTCCTCTCACACCCACCTGCGAGTGCGTGGTCGGCAGCCAGTTGGAGTTCATGTCGTCCTGGTGCTTGAAGTTGCCCTCGAACGTGTCCATGACGTCGGTCAGGCGGAAGGCGCAGACGGCCGAGCCGGCGATGCTGTTGACGGGTGTGGTGAATACGGCGTACAGCACGTCCTCGAGCTGGCCGCCGTGGACGCCCGTTTGCACTGACGAGATCGACTCTGAGGGGAGAGACGGAGGGGGTCAGAGGGGAAGATGAGGGAGAGGGGCGCGGGTGGAGAGTGGGGAGACATGGACAGCGGTGGGAGATGACTGGGAGACGAGCGTGCCGATGGTCCTGGCCCCGTCCCCGAACTCAAGAAATTGTGTTAAATTATCAGTTGGATCTCCGGGAAAATTGGGATTGTGGTGACTGACTTGGAGACGGGACGGATCGTCTCACCGATTTTCTTCCCCATTAGATCACAATTTACCGAGCAATGTGTCCCGAAGGCTACCGTAATACGATCGTGTGCGGTGGATTATATCTCGACAGAACTCTCCTGTCAGTGTATCAAGAAAAATGATTCCCGGGTCCCGTCCCAGATTGGTACAAGTTAAATCAATTGAGAGCAATGTCAGCGGCCACAAGCCCAATTATGTGTCAAGGTCGAACACATTGTCGCCGCCTTTGAAGATCACTGACGTGAACTTGTTTCGGGAGATCTTTAATCGTAATTACGTGTTGAGTCGAGACGAAATCTCGAGCCATGCGTGCCTCCTCTGGAAATGTTTCGTAATTATCCGAGCGACAAGATCGGCAGGCGCAGTAAAATGCGCGGAATGGTTAACCCCTTGTAACTGCTCACTCAGAATCACCAGAGGCAGGTCATGTCGAAACCTCGGCGTCCGTCCGCTCTTATCAGGACGGGGTGACAGCGAACATCAGAGATGTCTGCCCAGGCGTCTGATCGCATCACTTTGCATGTGTGAGCACCAGCCATCCCGCAGATCGCCCAGACTTCTCATCATTACCGACGTTTACTGTTCACACGGCGAACCGATCTGGTCGGTTCCCATCGCGATACCATCACCCAGTTGCCATGGCGACCCGTGGGCGCACCGTGAGACGGTCCGACGGACGGGACTCGAGGACAAACAGAGCTGACCGTCCGACCCGTCTCCCGTCAGCTGATGGTCTGATTTCGTCAGATTACGGCCCCTCCCAAACAGTGCACCAGCCGGCGCTATAATCTCTCTCCAGGGAGCCGCCTCATCATCTCTCGGCTGAACTAAACCGGGCACAGCCGACTCGGCGCGGTTTAACCCGCTCCGACGCTATTTTCTCCGCACTGCAGTCAGATCCAGGTTACCAGAACTGGGTTTATTCGTCTTACCCAACACCACCCTGCAGATTATGACGTAAATGATAAGTCTGGGCCCTGGAGTTAGGTACGCCCATCCCCTGTCCTGGCCGGCGCTCTGCACCTCAAACGAGCCAGCCCAGGGGCGTAAACAGAGCAGCGTCATCAGGCCAGAGCACAGGAGGGTAACGAGGGCGGCAGTTTCCGGCGCTTCAGAGGACGGCTGCTCCGCGCCGCTGCAGACCGTGATGGCGTCATCGAGCGGGCAGACAAACAGACGCCGCGGTCAGCGCGGAGGGGCAGGGCTGGTGCGACAAGACCGCAGGGAGGGTGCGCTCACCCTCTCGGCAACGTGTCTTTCACACGAGCCTGCTGAGTAGGATATGAAACCAGCAGGATCGTGGAAACAAAAGTTAAATTCGTGAATGGATCATTCCGATCATTGAGCTTTGAAGAGAGCAGAAAGATCAACGAGGTACGAACAGGAAAGTTTCCGAATGAGCTGGTAACTAAAAACTTTTCGCTAAACTTTGCGCGTTGCCAATCGCGGCCACGCGGTCATAGCCGCGGTCGGTCACGGTCACGATCAGATTCACGGTCACGGGCAGGGCCACGGTCACGAGCGGCAGGCAGCTGGCGGCTGCACTGGTAACCTAATGGAGCGTTCAGCTGCATCACAGCGGCGGCGGCCCGGTCTCTAAAGGGGCCATTTATCAGAGCTCCGTAAACAGCCAATTGGCCACAGGTCGACCTGGGCCAGCGGCGCCCAAGGTCAGCCCCTGCCCCTCCCCCCTCCCCGGACCACAGCCCAGCCCCGCTGAGTGGTAAACAGATACCGGAGAGGGGGAGCTAATGCTAACCGCAGATGAACATATGGCCCGCAGACGGCGGCGTGGCACCAGCGCGAGTTCGACCCTCTCCCTCCCTCCGTCGGCCGCCCGCCCATTCAGCGCGGTCACGTGACGTGTCGGCGGGCGTGTACATACCACGGCCGTGTCCGGGGTCATGTGACCCCGCAATGCCGTCGCCCGCACCGTGATGAATTGGCTGATTATAGTACAGAAGCCGTGTGTGTGTGAAGGGGGGGATTTGAACCACGCTGACGTGTGGAGGGGCGCGAGAGAGGGGAAGGGTGGTGACTGGTGATTATAGCGCGCGTTCAAGTGTGAGCGGAACCCTTGTGGTCAAATGTGCTGGTTATAACGAACCGTCAAAGGATTCCGTACAGTTCAAATCTGGCACGACTTCTCCTATGCTGGCTGGACATGCTGGCTACTCACGGATTTCGTCGAAGTAAAACGGGTACTCTCCGGGGATGGAGCAGTTGAGCCGCGACTTCAGGAACGACGTCCACTTGTTTCGGTACTTGTACGAGCCACCTTTATCGTTCTTACAGACGCGGGCCACGCGCGAGTAGACACGCTGCAAGGGCACGAAACACCGGGGTCAACGGAGGTCACAGACCGCTCAGAGGTTAACACAGTTTAGAGAAATCCAGTACATGGCATACCACACCATAGGGAAGAACAATGGCAAAGCACGACCTCCTTGTAACACAAATGCATCCAAAAATAAGCACAGCTCGTAGAAGTGCGGTGACCTGTGTCCATTTAACCCAGCCGACAGCTTAGCGAGTCGTCACCGTCGGTTTTCCAGTCCTCCCCGGCCGGTTTGGTCACAATAAAGGTGTGGCTTGTTTACGACAGTACGTCTTCGTCACCGTGCACCAAACCACACTGCGGTCAGCTTATCTGTCTAGCTGCCCCCCCCCCCCCGTCATCTACCGTAGTAGGTGGGATGACGAGGGGATAAAGGATCAACCAGCTATTACAGGATATCGGACGACGTTACAGGTCACCGGACAATGACCCAGTGGCCAGCAGACAGTTAAAACCGGACAGCAGGTCAGAGGTTTGACGACCGGTCACTGGACAGGGGACAGTCGGACAGTGGTCACAGGTTTGGCGACCGGTCCTGGACAGTTGGACAGGCAGTCGGGCAGTGGTCACAGGTTGGACGCCCGGTCACCGACAGCGACCGAGGCGGCTCGGCGGTGTCCCAGGGCGCACGGCGTTTCCATGAAATGTTTACCGAACGCTGCAAGTGTATGTCTAAGCATACACATACCTACACATCGAGCGGGCGGGGTTACGTCAGGTAGTTACCAGATCGACGGGCGAGTTTTTAGTAGGTTTACCGAACAGGGTTGGTTGCCAGACCCGGCTACTGGGTGGAACAGTTCAGTTGTCAAACAACTTGTCACAGAGAGGAGCCGCAAGACTTTGTGCTGAGTTCTCAGGACAGGCCACACGGAGCGAGTTGTCACTACCCAAAAAAAGCCGTGTGATCCGCTAGGCTGTCAGTGTTTACCTTTCCGCAGTTGATGTACTCGACGGCCGTCTCTCGGAAGAAAAAGTAGACAAAGTCTCCGTGGTCGATCGACCCGACAAAGCTGGGAGCTGAAACAGAAGCAGGGCTGGGTCAGACTGCTGATCGATAGCACAAAGACACAAATCTTAACACGCCAGATCACATACAGGGGTGTGTCCTGTGAGCTGTGACAGCGCCTACGATAGCCGACAGCGGGCAGTATCTGACCCCAGGTACAGTGCCCGTCAAAGGGTTCGTCTTTGTGTCGTGGACTGTTTGCTGTTGGTGAGCCGCGACTGGTCCCTGGTGGTGAGGATGGGTTGTGTCAGCGGGCACGGGCTGACCGCTGGTGTAACTCCACTGGCCCGTCTGGTGTTTGGCTCGAGGTGTGACAGCGTGAACAGTCAATACAGCTGGTTACAGGAATAAACCAAACTGGCCTCGAGCTCCGCACATGCCCCGGAACTACCGACAAAGACCGTGACACACAGACAAACACATCACGGAACAACGGGTTTGGCCTCGCAGCTCGTATAAACGCTGACCTCAAACCGAGTCGACTTCACCAAAATCACTTTTGACGGATTTATCAGTGTTATTACCTGTGGTCCATAAATATCGTTTGGAAGGCCCACTGCCCCAATATCGCTGACCCTATCTGCGAGCGCTACAAATCAGAGCGGCGCGGCTAAAGGACCACCCAGGCCGGAGGGCGCTCTTGGGGAGGTGGCCGCCGGCACGGCGGGATCACGGGCGGTAATTTGGCGCACACCAGTGGGCCACGGCCGCGGGGACCCGGCCTGGCCCGGCCCGCCGCCGAGTGGCTTTAATATCGGCAATCATGGCGCGAACTCGGCCACCGGGCAGTGGCTGGGTGGTCCGCGGCCGTCCGAGATGGTCGGTCTCCGGCAGGAGAGAGGCAGTGATTTGGGTGAGACTGCGGCTAATCAGAGGTCCTCGGGGTGGGGCTATCCGCCGCGCAGAAGCTGCCCCTCCGCTCTCTCCTCGTCCTAAAACGCATCTGGGTCTTACGTATCTCAGACACGCACAGTGTGGCTCATTGGCTCTCTTTTGGGTAGTGATATTTCTCTCAGTCACGCGAAGCTTTACCAATAACGTCTCACTAGGCCTTGTTGCGTAAAAGGCACCCGTCGAGATCACACAAGATCGCTGTCGGCACTGCAGTCGTCGCTATCGACGTTTCCCCATGCGCTCTCTCATCAACACACACTCCAATACTGAGGTAGTCAGATGAGCTATAGCACGCGCTCCCCTCGGTCCCGGGATCAGTTTCTCATTATCTTCTACGTTCATCAGTGTGAGACGTAATACCAGCAGACAGCGGGCTAAAACAAAGCGGGATCGTATGGATATTAAGGGCTAACGCATAATTCATTACTCTGGGCTAAAAGACTCGTGTTGGTGTTTGTATTGATGTTGTGTTGGAGCTGTGAGGTGCGAACTGCAGGCAGAGCAATGTGCCCATCATCCCGGAGCGTCCTGCCTCTGCAGCTGGCAGTGGGCTCCGCTGAACCGCACCGAATTGACACGAGAACACCGCATGAACAGTCGATGGATGAGCCCATCACCAGGCGTCGGATTGGACTGTGACGGAGCCCGCCTGCGGCCGGGTCCCGCGGGGTTTGAGACGGACTGCCGGACCAGTGCGGGGTGTCAGACCGACACACACCCGGCCATGGAGACGGAGCCAGGCCGCCAGATGTGAGAGTGGAGCCACAGCCAGCAGTAACAGCTCGGCAGTTCTGGCCGGGTGGAGGAGTCTCCCCTCCCTCCCCCGGATCATGGCAGCGGACACGTGCGGCTGAGGCGGTCAGGTGCCGGTCCGTGACCCCGGCGGTCAGAGGTCACCCCGGGGTGGTCCTGTCGGCCGCTGCGCTCGGCGACACCGCCGACACGAGCCTAATGGGTGGTCCAAACAACCGTGTCGCCAGGAAACAAAACAACCTCTAAAAACAAGTACACACAACGAGTGAACGTTACCAGGAGGATTCCTCAAACAGCACTCCATGTCGTCACAAAGACTATGAATCAGAGTTTCTATCGAGATGGCCTCCCGCATCTAAATTCTGCGCCCAACTTCCTCTCCTCAGAGAGAATCTCACTACTGACGGACGGCATGGTCCGCCCAGACGGCCCACAGCCACGAGACGGGACCGGTTTGGAGACCGCAGGCGGCCCGACAACCCACTTAGTGCTCCTGGCAGCACGGCGTGGCGCCAGCCGCCACGCCACGGAGAACCAGTCCTGCCGCACGGTGGAAATCAATTAATACCGCGGCCCAGGCCGACCACCGACCGACCGTTCCGGGGAACACAAAAAACGCCATTGTGTCTCGGCCGAGAACGGTTCGGAGCGGCAATTCACGGGCGGCGATATTCGTTAGAGATAAGCCACTTGTTAAATGTGTACCGTTACGCAGTTGAGCGAGCGAGAGCTTCCTCTATGGAGCGGCGCCAAGTGGCCAGAAGTTATGGCCGACCAGCTACCGCTCCGACACGCTACCCGGCGCCGAAGATCACCGTGATTTCGGCTTCGTTTTTGGGTCAGGTTAGGCGGCGCAGGGTTGAATTTGAGAATATTCCGGCTCATGGCACCAATGATGACTGTTGTAACATCCTGAAAACATTAGATGTACGACGCCGTTAGCCCCAGTGCTCCGTTTGACCTGAGACGGCGCCCTCTGATCTATGAGCTGGGGTTTCTGGGGTTTTTCGGTGGGGAGGGGCAGAGTGGGGCAGGGAGGAGCGCTGCCTGTGTTTACTGCTCTGCCCGGCACCCAGAGTTGGGCTGAGTCGCGCGCAGCCCCCCGCTCTGGAGTCGAGCCAGACGGAGTGGCTCTGTTCCGTCTGCTGACGTCATCGGTCGGCGTCCGAGCTGGCACGGACACCCCGCCGCGCCGCCCCTCTGTCCCCGAAGTCGACCCGCACCCAGTGATGGATGATAAAAACTGTAACAAATGGCGGCCACTCTGGAATTCACGCTATTTTTAACAGGTCAGCTCAGGACAATTAATGACTGCCAGCTAGTGACACACGATGACCTCGGATCGAATAAAAATACCGGCCATATTCAGTTTGAATCGACATTATTTGGAGGTGAAACATTTACCTGGTTCAATGATGACGTTTACTTCATTGATATAGATGCTCTAAATATCACCGTGAATATTGCTAGTTGCACATCAACAGCATACGCATAGCTGTTTTTGATTACATGCCTCGCGCTCCGCAGTAACGTATTACCGATAGTGTCAGGCGGTACAGCATAGCTGCAGGCGCTCACTACTAGTGGCATCTAGTGGGCGCAATGCGCACTAAACTGCCCATCGGATTTGCGGGTCAGTATAACTTCCAGGCGTGCGCTGCTGCCGCTACAATCTTGATTGTTTGTTTGCGCTGTGTGCTGTTTACTGCTGTTTGTTGATTGAATGTTTGCGCCATCAGTGTTGCGCTCGAACAACTCAACTAACAAAGCTGCGCGTGTTTTCATATAACACCGAAACCACTCGGTAACTCCATCTGTAAGTCGTAAGTAACGACAGTCGTGCCCTCGTCACGCCGGGTCACGGTGGCGTCACGAACCGACCGTCCGTGACTTACCGTCACGGACGATCGCAGCGAACGGGTCCGTGTGTTACCAAACACCATGTGCCTGCGTCACGCTTTGAAATTACGCCATCGACCAACAACACTCGCAACACACACGAACATAAGCAGCGCTCGCCGGCAGTGCCACCGTCTGCAAGTGCAGGCTCATCCAGCTTATCCAGCTTAAAACTTTCTCGATTATACCAGGATGGATGCACGGCAGGCGGTTTTTGGGAGCCATAAGCCGCGCTTCCGAGCTTCTAAGAAGAGTAGAGAGTTGTGAGTTGACAGTGCCGCCGCCGCGAGCCGGTGACGACGCCGGCGTCTAGTTGGAGCGCCCTGCAGCCGGGCGGGTCGCCAAGTCATACGGACAGTCGGCCCCGGGGACCGGCCGATCTGGCCACTGATCAGCCAGTCACCGTCCGACCGGCCGGCAGAAGCGGACGAGTACACACGAGACGGGAGAGAGGTGCAGGTCCAGACGAGAGGAGAGGGAGAGAGAGGGGAGGCACGGCGCCCACCTGGACGTACGTCGTAACGTCAGCGTCGTCGATCGCCGACCTGTCCGGAGCCACTCTCTCCAGACAGCGCGGCCACCGCGGAATACTAATGACCGCTGCACCGGGCGCCGCGGGTGACTTTACACTCTGCGGCCCTCCCCGGTCCTCTACCGTACCCAGGCGGCCGGTCGGACGGCTTTTTCAGCCGGTCAGAGTACGACCGGAGCGGCGCCGCGCCGGTCAGAGGTGCCCGGACAGGAGAGCCGTGACCGGTCCAATGAGAGGCCACGGCGCGTGACCGGGACCACTGGCGCCCCTCACCGAGACTCCCGTCCCAGCGGCGGATGAATGGAGCTTCACGGACTGTCGGCCCGTGTGAATAGCGCCACGTGACCGCGGAGAATAAGACGATTGTGGTGCGATTTAGAGCTCACTGCCTGCGAGTGGATGATATGGTAGAGACATCCTATTCAGAGCCCAGCGGCGTGAAGGAAATTAAGATAAAAGGCAGATAAAACAAACCGACATAAACCAGGAAAGCCAAATAGCTACACGTGAGCCGGCGGCGGCGTTAAATAAAGCCACGCTTTCAGGAATATTTTAGTGGTAACTGGTAAGTGAACTATTACTATCCAAAATCTTGAGGCATGAAACTTGATCAATGATAATTACCATGCTTCATCAACGGTAAATACGTTTTAATGAGCACTTATTGCTTTGAAACGGATGCCAAAATAACGACTTCAAGTTTTCAATTCGAATTCGATTAGGGAAAAAACAGCTGCAAGCAACAAGATATAAGAACGTGCTGATTTTATTAGAAGATCCCGTTAACGATGCCACGAGGTAGCTCTAAAATCAACTGACGCGGTGTTCAAAACATTTTGTCTGTGATTTTGGCCGATGAATTAGACATATTACGCCATTCACCCACAAAAAAAAACGACAAAACCAAAATATTTTTCGGCACATCGACAAATTTACTTTACATAATGACCTAGCCAAATTTTCCTTATTTTAAGCAATGTTTAATGTGTGGAAATGCTAAATGCTTTAAGAAGCATCTTTACTAGCAGTACACCATGTCCCAAGCATGATGTAAGGCATCATTCAACAGAAATGGAACCCGACGAACCAAGCACTAGCGGCCCATCACCATCGAGAGAAAGGTCTCGATCCAGATCTAGAGCCAGGAGCGAAGAAAAATGCATAAAACCGAAAGTGAAACCTGTCAAAATTAGACAAAAAGCAACACGAAAACAGGTCAGGATGAAACCGAAGGTCGAATATGAGAGCGATGATGACAAAAGCTTAGCTGGCTCCTCAGATATGTGCGGTGATCAATATGAAGAACCAAAGGATGAGGACGAAGAAGAAGAAGAAGACGAGGAGCAAGTATGCGCACCAGTGCGACCGAAGAAACGAATGAGTCGCAAGAGAGCACAACCTTCAGATGAAAGTGACTCACTGCCGGGTAGCTCAAACGATGCCTCGTTCGACGAGACTCCAGACCAAGACGGTGGCGACGACTCAGACATCAGTAGTGCGCCTACCGAGGCACCATCCGAGGTCGAGTGCTCAAAGAAGACAAAATCGCGACGCAAGCCGATCCTCAAGAAACCCGTCATGCCGCGAGGGCGTCAGCGGCGACGTCAACGATCCCGTTCGGTCAGGAGTCACATTCACACACTGGACGACCACGATCGCGGCTCAAAGTGTCGTCTGTGCACCACTTGTGCGGCGCGCTACCAGGCCATTCTAATGAACGGACGGTACGCATAAGTTTGACACGCACAAATTCTTAATTATCGTATATTTTAGTGACCTGTCTCCGTCCCTTTAAAGTTCATCTACTCTAACCTTGTGAATATAAACCCCGTCAGACTCACCATTTAGCTGTTTCAGCTCGAACTGTTCGGTGCGGAGCGGATGTCTGTAGATGAGTGGGTCCGAGCCGGCAAAATCAGCCACCGTTCCCGCATACAGCTGGTCATCTGTGGGGAAAAAACGAGTCGTCAAACAAATAGTTCATCAAAATTGAGACAGCCATAAACCTCTCCTTGTAGTCATCGTTAAATCACTCGTGCGTTTTCAATGAGCGGCGTCCCGTCTGCCCATGACGTTTCGACCACGGACCGGACGTTGGATGCCGGTGACGTTTAACTGTGGACCAGACGCGGGGGTGGGTTGGCAGCTGTGTCGCCGCCGCCGTCACAGCTCACCGACCACTGTGGTGCCATAAAACACCAACTAAAAACGCGGCGCGGCCGGCTGCTGGCACGGCTCGCCGCAGCACTGCTGACCAGGCCAGCGGTCAGCGGTCGGCAGCGACCCGCCGACACCAGCTGACACCGTCAGCAGCTCCGTCCCAGCCGACATCCCCGCCCCCCTCCCGGCCGCTCAGAGTCTGCATTCTACATACACCCCTCAAACCATCGGTGGTCCGAAGGGTACCCAAACACCGCGCGCCCACCGCGATAAAAGCCGAGCTGTGTTTCTGCGACGGGTCTCGATTAGAGATCAGCAGGTAGCGGAGGGTACCCGGCGGTGGCCACTGGCCGGGGAGGCGGCGCACGGTCCCGGATATGAACCCCGGGTGCGCCAGGGTTGAGTTGAGTGACCCTCGGGCGAACCACAGGCGAGCCCGCCACCCAAAGCTGCGCGCGTGACTGGAGGAAAATGACGACAAAAAACGGCCTTCCCGCTGCGCGCCCGCGATCCCTCCACCAGCTATCAGATGAAAATTAACTCGTCAGATGAGAGTGGGAATTGAGAGCTTATCTTGCACAGCCGTGCAGCCTCCCGAGAACGGATAGTAGCTTAGACAAATTGGACGATTTCCCATCTGTTACTCGTCGCTGTAGTCAGATTTTCACAGGCGAAGTGCCGCATTTAGAAAAGTCCGATTTAACAGACCTGTCGGGACGAAAACCACCTGCTCCCCTATAGCTCCCGGTGCCAGCGCGGCGCAGGCGTTCCCAGGATGGGCATTAGTAACCTCACAGCGCTAACAAACTCGGCCGAACTTCACTTCATCATAGAGGCGCCGCCCCAGTGAGTTTCGGCGTCAGTAAACTCGGTAAAGACCTCGCGAGCCATGGTCAGCCCAACAACTTTGACAGCTGTTACGTCTCGGCTCGTAACTTGTCTCAACCAGCTGTCCGACGTCCATTGGGGGCCATCCAGCCGGAACACTCGACTCGGCAAACTTTTCCAATAACACATTCATCGAGCGGGCGAGCACGCCTCAGAAGCAGGGCGACGTCTATAGAGAGATACGCTGTGGCGATGTGACATGGGTGCTATTGGTATGTTCAGCGGCGACCCGGCCCCCATGGTGTTTCCAATAGGCGACGCGACCGGACTTTGGCGTGTTCATTGACGGGATGGGGTCAAACTCGGCCGAACTTCACGTTTATGTGTAGTCAGTTGACCGAGGAGGGGGTCAGTTGACCGTGGCCAGCACTCACCGACAAATGTGACGGTACTGTTGTGGTGCGGGTCGTACGGACAGATTCCCTTGCCGTCCACGTCGTTCCCTTCAGCGACGTAGCCCAGCTCCTGAAAAGGTCACAATGAATTATTACACTGGCACGGAAGACGCAATCAAACTCGAGTAGACACAGAGACACAATTCTGAACTGCGCTCAACATTTCAACGAACAGGAGCTTGAAATGCAGAATGTGATGCCAGCTCTAGAAAAAGCATCGGATATCAGCACTCTTGGAAGCACGATACTTTGTGGACAGTCACTCTCAATTCTCTGGTGACAGCCGCGATAAAATCTCTAAGTCAGTTGATCCCTCAGGACTGTCGAGCTGCGGGGCCGTCGAGCCGCAGCTCTTTCACTGGCCCGACAGCTCAGCCGAGTTGACGACAGGCAGTCGGTTCTCGGCGAGAATTTCCGTCCAGTCAACACAATTCGAGGCGGCTGAGGTGCTCGCTTTGTCAGCAACCCGCGGGCAAACAGGGTAAGCCCTGGGACCCGGGTGGAGGGCGGGCAGAGGGCGGTGCGCAGAGGACACAGTCGGACGGCCCAGCCCCAGGAAACGTCCCACATTCCGACAGTACTTGTCAATAGGGCCTCATTCCGGCGTAGAAAGGACAGGAAGTCAACTGCGCTATAGCAAACACCGCCACCATGGGTTTCCCAGGGACGGGAAAACATAGGTATGAGAGGAGCCCTCCCAAACGCGGCGGGATTTTGAGTGACAGCTGTCCAGTGGCTCCTGCCCGGGCTGGGGGGGGGGTCAGGCCGCAGGGAGGGGTGACACGCACCTGCCACAGCTCTGACGTGTCTGACCGGTCCGGCCAGGTCAGAGTTTTTGCCCTGTGGCGGCCGGTTTTTATTGGCCCAGTTTTTGCAGTGCTGTCGATGACCCATGTCATGCTCGCGGTGGGACATAGCAACGCCCTGGGCAGAGTCAAATAGTCGATCGGTCTTTAGCGTGACGGAACGTTACGTGAACGTGACGTTACGTGGCGTACGGGGATTAAGTAACATAATGGAAATAAAGTCTGGAAACGTGAGAGGCTGAATCCTTCACTGTAAATCCAACTTGACCCAGCTGACCTAGAGGGTCACACTAAGCGAATGTGCCCTGAATGGACGGCTAGACACATTAAAGGGTGAAGGAAATAACTCACGTCCTAATTGCCGGGGGACACGCAAGAAACGACACAGAGATTTAGAGGTAAAGAAGGAGGGACTGGTGGGAGAGAAGGGGGCACATTAAAACGGCGGAGAGAGAGGAAGAGTGAGAGAGAGAGAGAGAGAGAGAGAGAGAGAGAGAGAGAGAGAGAAAGAGAGAGAGAGAGAGGGAGAGGGGGAGAGGGCAGAGACGGAGAGCGGAGGCGTTGGGCAGAGGGCGCGCTGCACAGTAAGTGCCTGGGAGTGGTGGCCGGCGGCCGTCCGTCCGTGGAAGCCGTGACGCTGCACTCCGTCCGTCTGTTCCCAGGTGCAGCCAGTCAGGGTCACCGGCAAACCACCACGGGTCACCCCCGGGTCACCCTCCCAGTCACGTGACGCCGACGACACCCACCGGCTGTTTCCTGTAGCTGCGACACTTCGGGTTGTACGAGTTGGTGCCACACACGAACAGCTCGCCGTCCGACTTCTTGGCCAGCACACGCACGTAGTTGTGACACGCCTCCTGCGAACAGAATACCACAGTCATGTAGCGCCGACACGTATATCGTAACGTGGGCCACGTTCGGGCGCACCTCGCGGATTAGCTAAAGCGGGTGACAAATTACGAAAACGGGCTTATGTGTGCTGGCGCGCGGCGGGCGTCACGTTCGGGCCAGGTTCTGGGAGTGTGAGCCTGTGTTCGTGTACGGCCATTGAACATGAGCGGCCGACAGTAAGAGGACAGGTTTTGAGGCTGGGCCCGGTGACAACATGTGGTCAGACGGGTGTGACGTGTCTCCTGAACGTTACCCGGCGTCACTCCTCGTACGGAGTGGGCCTCCAAACACGGCAGATAAAACAGAGAGGCACTGCAGGGTCCAAGTGGTCGGCTGAAGCGATGGGGCAACTCGTTTGATTAAAACGGTGCCGCCGTATCGAGTGACAGCTGCAGTGGAAGTTAGATTCCGGCGGCTGCCTCTGTAGCAGACCAATATATCGGATCGAGACCACCTGCATCCCTGCGGCGCCTCCTCTCCCCCAGCGCTCCCCCGCCAGTCTGCAGTGCGTGACCTGCTTCGGTCGTCAGCAGCTCCAGTGCCTGGGCGGTGACGGTGGGCGGGTCGGCGGGGAGCCGGAGAGGGCGGCCCACAGTCCGACAGAAGCCGTGCAGCCGATCGGTCGGCAGGCACGCCCCCTCCTCCCCGCAGCCCCAGCAGTCCAGTCGGCTATGCATGGAATAGCAGCGGCGATAGCGGGCGTCGACGCACGCCGACGCGCCTCTAGCGGACCCGTCATTCTGAACGCGCCGCGCCGGCTTACATATGAATGGAGACACGCTGCTACGCCGAGCCACCGACCTCCGTTTGGCGCAGTGCTCACTGAATAGAGAGGCGACTGCTGGCACGTCTTCGCGCCAGCTGCTGGGATTTTGTGCTTCACGGCGCGGAGAGGCGACAGGGCAACGCTCGACGTCGGCCGAGACGCACTGGGGTCCAGCCGCGACACAGGCGCGCGCGATATAGGACCGACAACGAAAACAACAACCAGCGGGAGTGCTGTGATGGACGCGGCACCCAGGCGGCGGCGCCGTTCGCGGACGAAATATGACCTCGTTAACCGCGATATGGCGGTGGAAAGCCTCGTGAATCGTACACGCTTGGTGCCGGATGCCATTGCGGGGCGCGGCCGGTGAGCCCATCCAGCACGGTCGGGTGCCGGACGCACCCGCGCGGCACCCCGGCCCGTGACGCGGCACCCACCGGGCACCCGTGAGCAGCTCGGCCCGGCAGGCAGTTTGGAGCGATCGCAGCGCCAGAACGAGGACCGTGCTCGTCCGAGCGAGGTCAGCGCTATTACAGTGTGCCGTGTTCATTTACACCGTCTCGGTCCGACAGTCAGCCACTGGAGCGAACAGTGTGACCCGCAGTACACACATCTGTCGCGCGCGCGCCACAGTTGTGCAAAGAGGCCACTTCCGCGCCGGATTAGCCGCCTTTCACCGTGGGCCTGCGGTCAGGGCGTACGCAATAGCGCGTGCGATTGCGGCAAACTAGACGCAGGGGTAGATGGGTTAGATACGGCAGGGAGCTATTATCGCGCTGCACTTTATATAGACCGCAGAACACTCCGCGCGGTGGCCGCGTTTCCACACCGTTCGTAGGTTACGAACACATGTGTAACGCCTGCCAAAATCGGACGCGCGTCCGGTGAGCTCACCTCGCTGAGGCCCTTCATGATGCAGAGTCGGACGTCGTGCTCGGGCGAGTACCACTCGAGACGCTCCTCGCGGTGTTCGGTGAAGTCGGTGAGGCTGATGTTGAACACGATGTTCCTGCAACAGAGCGAGGCGTGGCGTTAGCGGGCGTCACAAGGACCGTCACAGTAGAGGCAGCGGGCCAGGGAGGACCGCAGTCCGGTCTGCAGCCGTCCGCGGCCGGAGCAGAGAAGCCGCCGAGCGGTGAGAGAACAGACACGCCGCCGACGCCGCTATCACACGGCCGCCGACGGACAACCAGGCACGCAACACGCCATGAGCAAAGTGTAAGCCACATAGGGCCGCAGCACACCGTTACAATTACAGCGGCACACATTGCCCGCAGTGCTGAGAAAGCCGCTGGTCCCTAACTATCGCCTACCCGTGCTAAATTCCGAGACCCCACGGCCCACTTTGCAGCTTTGCCATGCACTGCCACAATTCCCACAGCCCATTTGGGCACCTCGTTTCCACAATGCGGCGCCGCTTGTTGGCGAGTTGACCCAGACGTGTGCTGATGAAGGATTAGCCCTGGCGCTGATTGTGTCCGGTGACGGTCGCGCACGGCGGTCGCGGCGGGGCGACCGGCCCTGATTGTCGCACATCGGCCATGGTTAGTGTCCATTAGAGCGCGGCCCGCTGTGCCATTAGGTCCCCTTTGTCTCACCGCAGTGCGGTCAGGTGAAGGGTCAGCCCATTCGGACCGTATTGTCTCGCTCTGTGTTCTGTCCGTACCCAGCGCGTCAGTACGCGCCGTCTAATTCGACCGGCCGCCGCCGACCAAATGGCCGCTCCGGCCACCGTTTCCGCTCGGGGTCAGGAAAGGTCACGGAACTGTCCCCAGAAAGCTCCGTCGACATTCGCTCAGTCGTCGGTGCGACGACAGAGTCGCCGCCGCGCCGGCCAGACACCCGAATGGTCCGCCGATGACCGCCACCGTTTCTCCGCGGGCTAAATTTAGCGAGTTTGGCAGCTAGCCCCTGTCAAATTCCGAGATGCCCGGCTCGAGCCCGGGTCGGAGAGCTCGCCACGGCCAGTCAGCAGTCGGTGGCGTCTGTGGCCAGCGCGGCCGAGGTCAGAGAGGTCAGACGGGTCGGAGGTCAGAGGGGGCGCAGGGGTGACCCCGGCCGGCAATATGAGCCGGATGGTGTCCCGGAACTTTGGAACAAGGCGAGTTCTCACCATACGCCTCGCTAAACGGCGGACAGCGCGGCGGTAGGTGCAGGGTGGGGGGAAGGGAGCCAGGGTGCAGGAGACAGCACGGCATGACCGGCACGGGCGCCAACTACGCGTGATCGCTGCGTAGTATGCGAGCAGCGATTTAAGGCATCGACTGCGGCCTCCAGACAGTCACGTCGTTCCTGTCTCTTTGGTTGGACGGTCAGCAATGAGCCGAATGAGCCCGACGAGCCACGAAACGAGCCGACAAACGGACTCGACACGACGAGACAAACGGGCTGCGCTCCAGAGTCCGAGACTGTCATGAGAACTGAGCGACAGACGCCGCGCGGCGCGGGTGGCCACCGTTTGCAATGTTGCGGCTGCATCGCGCACAACTTCGCAGTCAGCCACAAGAGCACTTCCCTCAACGAGCTGTCAAGTTAGTGAGCCGCGCTACGGACTATCATTTAGGTAAACATTGCCGAGTCTTAACGATCCGTTTGTGGACGTCAGGGGACGGAGGAAGGGTTGCGCTGGACGGCTGTGTCGTTCCGTGGGGCGACTGCTGCCCGTTGTTGACACTGAGCGCGGATGTTGTCCCGTTTGTGACGAGTGGCGAGGTGGGGGGGTCCGTCGGCCGGCGGAGGTATCCTGGGACAGTCCGTCGGCGGAGACAGCCTGGGTCGGTCCGTCGGCATCGGATGACGTCGCCCGGGCCGTGTTTAGTCTGTCGCCAGCGTCGGTCCTGACACTCCCACGGCCACCGGTCGACGGTCGACGGTCGCCCGGACCCGTGGGAGAGCGCCCCGCCCCACCCCTCCCCATCAACATTCACCCCACCACAGACTGCGCTCCCGCCCGGGGCACCTTACTGCAGACCGCGCCCCCGCCCCCGGTACCGACAAAGTAATGGCGCGTTTTGGACGTCACACCTCTGCAGGTCTGCCCTGGCGGCGCGCCGTACGGACGCCAGCGAAGTCGCAGCACGGCGGAACGGTACGTGCTAGGAGCGACGGACCACGAATCAGCTTCAGTGATCCAGCCGTGGGTCGTGACATAAGGCAGAAAAGGACTATGAATGGCAAGCCAAGACGGGGAGGGCAGCGTTTGACGTCCGCGATCCTATTTTGGCTCCAAGGGGCGATAGGACGTAGCGGTCTTGGTGACCTTTACCACCGACTGAGTTCCAGGTCATCGTCAGTTGTCACAGGCCACCGTCGGTAGGATATGAATGCGGCGGACAATACGGCAATCATCGGAGCCGTCGCACAATGTCGCGCTCGGACCCGGTCACGGCCGGGGCACGGTCCGAGACAGACTGAATGGCAAAAGGACTGGAACGCTGAGGCCTGCTTTGAATGATGACACGCTATTGCATTCATTGGAGTGGTATGCCGACTATCCGCATACAATGCATGCAATCAATGTAGGTAGCTTCCTGATCGGCAAAGCTGCTCACTAATCGGGACAGTAAGCGCATCGAAACGCAGATTTATCGAAAAGATAGAGACGATAAAGTTCGAGCTAACGGTCCGCTGAATGCCGATGTGTGTCGGACCGCTGAGCTTGCAGGCAGGATGTGACTGAATGCAGAGAACCGGTGATCTATAGCTGCACCCGGAACGATCACAAGACCATTCCATGACCCGATCGACGTTTATATATGACCCCGCGGGCAGCGGATATCTCTGAGATTATTGATAACGCTGTCATTTCTGAAGCCTTTGAGACCAAGACGAAATTTCGCCGGCTCGGCGTCTCTCGGCCGATGTCATTCAGAGGTCGTGCGTTCGAATCCCGGTGCCGTCACTGACCTTGCGCCTATGAGGAGCGAGTTGCCGTCCTTCTCCAGCAGTTTGAAGTGGTCGCTGTGGGACGTGTTGCCTCTGAACCGGAGCACGTCCTCGTCATCTGCAACAGAGCAGAGTCATGCATCGTCAGAGACTGTTGGTCCACCCGTCAACCGCCCAGTCAGCGCCGGGATATAAACGGTCGATTAGGGAGATTTAAAACGCATCGCGGCACCACACAAATCACACTAAGCACCTTCATTTCAAAACAGCTTACGTGTTAATATTCTGTGAGGCCGTTTTTCTGGACGTATCCGCTGTGGGAATGGGCCCAGGTAAGTCGTGCGCCTCGCACTCGGGATTTATTGGCCGCGTATTCGCGTGACCAGCCGGGAGGGCTAAGAGACGCTCCCACTGCCGCTCGCACCACCCGCCCCCACGAGATCGAGACTATGTGTGGGAGGTAACAGCACGTCGAGCGACCCGAATAAACACTCAACGCAATCGGAATGGATATCCCTGAGGCATGAAGCAATGATTGCATGCAAGTATTCATTCTCAATTCTCAAGTTAGTCGTCTCCTGTGTTCTATACTTGTATGACGAAAGCATGTAATAGCCTCCTTTATAGAGGATATGTTTGATATATTCAATAAATAAATGAATAAATAAATGAATAAAAAATAAATGAATAAATAAATAAAATTACAATGCAGCATTTCACAAAATTTGTACTGTGCGGATCAAAGAAGGCTTACGAATAAAAGTGCACGACTCTGTAGCTCAAAGAGAACGTCTCAATTAAGATGCGGCCCATTGACTTCGATTAAAATTCCTTCGACCCGTTTCCGACGGCGTCTCTCCCTCGTTCGATCGGAATGTCGCCGCGCCGGTGACCGCAGATTGGCGCAGAGTCGCGGACCATCCCGGTCGTGACGGTCCCGCAAACATCGCCAGCTGGCGCCGATTCCGGCGCGCCCGGCTGTGATTGGCGCTATTTAGATCCGCCTGCTCGCGGTGAACAGCGGCGAGCAGCGGCGCACCTGTTCCGAACACACCGACCAGAAGGCGGATCCGGCAGCGGCTCTATCAGTGTAGCATTGTCACACCGGCCAATTGAGCCGCTCGTGGCGTGGCTGTGCGCCACAGGTGTCGCACGTAAACACCGCGCCGCGCCGCTGCTCGTGGAAGCTATGCAGTGCCCTGACTGCGTCCCGTTACCGCTTTGCGCCTTTTTTCGGCCATTGCCGGCATCTGGCGCACAGTGTGAATGTGCTGCTAACGAGACTCTGGTGAACGCCGCCCACCGATGCACGCTCAAACGGCCCTGATTCAGACGCGGCCGTGCAGACGCGGCCCTAAGTTGTCTGAATGGCCGAGACAGGAATTACGGTGTTCGGCGCTGAGCCGATGGTGCGTGACGCGAAGAGTGTCTTCTTCCTGGCCAGGTTTTCGTACACCGGTCCACCCCTGCAGTGTGGCACGAATCGATTGTGGAGCGGGTCTGAAGTAGGTCGGACGGCCCGGTGTAGTGCCCAGCTACGCCTCCAAGTGGGCGCCGTTTCGTTTGCACAATGGGCTTTACACCAACAGTGACACCCTCTTACGGAGCTGCTTTCTCGGAGGCGCGAGAACCGCTGCGGCGTCCACAAAGCCTTTGACACGGGTCGGGCGACGCGGTTAGTATCTGCTGTGTCCGGGCGGCGGCTCGTCAGCGGGAGAGAGTCCTTTTCATTAGCGCCGCGCCGCTGACCGCGTTCCGACCTGATACGGACGCCCGCGCGTCAGCGGTCTCCCGGCGAGAGGTCAGAGGTCGTGACAGGACGGCGTGAAACGCGGCTACCGTCCGAGTGGGCAGGTAAAAGCTCTGATGCATTCAAAGAAATTGCATTGTAAAGCAAATGCCACGCCAGTATGAAAACCGCAATAGGAAAAGTATTAAAACGTTTAAAATAGAGGAATCTGCCTGATGGCGCCAGTCTGAAAGCATCTGGAATCTAAATAACGGTAGAGTCTATGTAGTTCTAATTTACATATATTACGCTACTGTGACATGATGCTAATTTCGCTGGTGATTTTGATTGATCGAATGAGACTAGCCGCAATTATTTTGTGTCCAGAGCTGCCTACAGAAGTGGCTATGTAGATCTGTGTTACGTCCTGCGCAAACTTCTGAGAAGCTACCTCTTATGAGGGCACCTTTCACAAATCTCTCCTCGGCTATATCATCTCTGCATACCTAATTCCAGCGCTCAACCAGCGGAGGGGAGCGCCGGCCCTACAGAAGCCTTCCGCCAAACACTTTCTCATGTGCACGGAGGGCGCGCCCGCTCCTCTTCTCGTCTGGACGTACGCGGAAGGCTCCCCTCCCGGCAGCAGCTCTGAGCGGCAGCCATCGCGGGACCGGTTTTGGGCAGGAGAAATCACGACTGCGGCCGGCGGCGGTGTCTGGCCGCCGCCCTGAGCCGCCGGCCCGCCGCCCCGCGCCGTCCACTGTCCACACGCCGCCGGCGCCGTTTCACCTGTCGTTCCGACGGGCGGCACGACGGAGGCAAACATGACGCCGGCGCGACTGTTTGCTCGACCCGACTCCGTGCCGGTCGTATGAATGGGACCCGCTCGGCGTCCGGCCGCCGCGCAACGGGTCAACCCACACAGCGCAACGACAGTGCAGCAATGAGCGGGCAACGAGCCGGATGGCACCGGCAGCGGGTCGCAGGTGGAAAGGTCACCACGACGTGCGACCAGCCATCAGACAGGACAAATATCGTGGAACAGATGGCCGAAAAAAGTCGCTCCGTTATTCTGCCAGGAGCGGCGGCGGCGGTGAGAACGGGGGCGGAGGTCATGTCCCGGGTGGAGGCGGTGACCGCGGCGGGCACGAGTCGGACGGTGGTCGCCGCTGCAGCCTCGCTGGCCGGCGTGACCATCAGCCAAACAAGAGCGGTCATATCGATGGTAATTGTATCGGTCTGCAGCACTAATGGCGGCGTTAGTCAGCACAGTACAAGTCACGCAGACTCCACGTGTCGGCCGATGGAAGCCTGATAGAGGCAATAGGCCGATGATGTGGAGAATACATGGAACAGCAAGAGCTGGTGGAAGCCGGCAGAAGCCGGCGGAAGGCGGGCGGAAGGCAGACGGCTCCGCATACCGCGCCGATCCGGCGGCGGGCCCGCGCCGTGTCGCAGCGTAATGTGACCTGACCACTGCAACCGGAGACTCGGCGCCGCCGGCCGCAGCGCGCTGCTGAAGCTCAGAGATTGGCGAGGTCACACGGCCTGGCAGCCGTCCGCCGGTTCCCAGACTGCAGCGACAGTGCAGTGGGAAGGGAACGGCGCGGGGCGGCGCGAGGTTAGATCCTCGGAGCCCGGCGCGCAATACGATCTGATCACACGTGTATCCATTGAACGAAACTGGTTCCCAGAACGGTTCACCGCTGTCACACACATTCCCCGTCTGTGTCGGAGCCGCTCGGGACGAATGGGTGTCTCGGCGGGCCGTCCCCCTCCCGCCGAGTTCATTCAGTGTCTCTGTGATGTCCCCCGCCGGTGTTTCTCTCTCCTCAAAGCGGCCCTATCGCAGTGGGTCGCCAGTCGCCATTACTGCTCGAATGTATAATGCAGCGACTGCACCCAGCCGGCTCATGTTTCTTGCATGCGTCGGTGGCAGCGGTTTGGAAAGCGTCTTCGACTGCTGCGACCGCTGCGCTGCAGATGCACCCATCACCCGAACATCGGAGAGGCGTTGTGCCGAGGTCAGCCTCACACTCGCGCAGCCTCCACAAACCGGCGGCCTCTCCCTTACCAGTCAGACCTTGAGGCGTCTTAACCTTCGCCCCAGTGGGGGGGGGGGGGGGGGGCATATGTTACCACCCTGTCGCGTTTTTTGCGTGTGAATAAAAAACCGCGACGCGTAGCGCCGCGCCGCTTGGGGTAGCTTTTGGTACATCGATTTTGGAAAAAGTGTGAAATTTTTGACCCCAGGTCATGTCAGGTCAGGTCACCAGGTCAAGTTAACTGACCAAGCCTAAAAAAAGTTTGCAATCATGTCCAGCCTGCAGTGTTTGTCAGAAAGGTTTCAAACTTGGTGGATTGCATGATGTTATGGGCACCTACAATTTGTATATCTCAGATTTTTTATATCCGTGACCTAAGGTCAGGTCAGTGGCGTGACCTTTCCATTACAAGTGAATGGAGAAAAATGAAAATGCCTCTAGATCCGTGTGTACGCATAGGAACAGTCCAAATATTTCAGAATCACAATGATTTGGACCACCCGTGATGACCAAGGTGTCATTTTTGCTGATAGCCTCTAGAAAGGTCATCCGAGGTCATCTGAGGCTACAAACATATTTTTGCCAATAACTCGCGATTGGAAAGAGATAGAACGCTGGGGATGGTCTCATTGTGTTTGTCTTGCCGAGACGCATCGACTGATATGCAACATGACCTTTTCCGGTCAGGTCATGACCTTGACCTGAGGTCAAATTTTCAAGTTGACCTTTCAAGGTCAAATTATAGTTCATTCGACGCGTCTCGGCGGGAGGAACACGATTCTGGCAATAGAAAGGTCGTGGCGTTTTGTTGTCAAAAGTTATTGTCGAAAAACACTTCGTAAAAACAGCTATTTTTGGAGTTTTTGCCCTCTGGAGGCTAAACCGTTGACCCGAGGTCAATTTTGATTATGACCTTTTCAAAAGAAGAGTTCAAGAGCTATCGATTGCTTTTCCATGCGTTTTTCTAGCTACCATAGTTTCTGAGATAACGGCATGTTTTCTGAAAAATATTATGACCATTGGCAAATTTTGACCTTTGATGACCTCTGGTGACCCCAATATTGCTCTAAGATGAAAAATGACTGAAATACTTTCAAACGTACGCATTGAGAGCTATCGACTGCTTTTTACCGCGTCTTTCTAGCCCTCTTAGTTTTTGAGTTAGAGGTGGGTGGTAACATATGCCCCCCCCCCCCCCCCCCCCCCCACTAGGGCGAAGTTGGCTGAGACTGCCACTGGGGCGCGGGTTAAACAGAACCAGCCGCTCGGGTGTCCGGAATAATCCGTTCTCCAGGCCACCCACAGAGATCAAGAGCACCAGCCGCGGACCCCTTCACACCAACA